TCACTCACACCCGCTCACTAGATCCTCTTCAATTATGTGAACTCTTCAAATTCTATTCAATTATAACGTAACCAAACTTATCAGCTTTTAAATTCACGAATCCTTTATTACTTATAATATTTTCACACCACTTATCTGTCTCTGAACTCCACTCGATTATTACGCCACCCATCCTTAATGTTTTCTTGATTCTAACAACAAATAACCTCTGACGTGTTATTGAATATATACATATGAATAAGGTTATTATTGATAATCTGCATTATTCCAATTCTTTACATTCAGCCATGTAAACTGCTTCATACCTCAATGTTAAATTCTAATACATATTTGGTTGTAAGCAGCTGACGAGGAACCATGAAATATAATGAATGCATACTATTCTGCATCAGTATTTCTTCTGGTTTTATTTAAATTCATAAGCAGAACTAATCATATGAAATTATAGTCTACTTAGGTACTGATACTAATTTGATAATAAACGTAATCCAACGACGGTAAAATCTGTAGGACCCTACGTGGAAGTAGCGTCACTCATTCCATCTTAATTCTTACAGACACTAACTCGTGAACATTATTGGTACTCAGCCCCATGAAAGTGGGAATAAGAGGAAAATAAAAATTATGCAAAAGTTTATTGGATCATCGTTAATATTGAAACATAAAAACAAGTTTACAAGTTAGTGATAATTCTTAAATAATAATTGTTGACTTTTTTCTCAACTTCCGTCTCGAAACGTTCACCATATCCATTTTATAAATGTTCCCTCACTTCACCTTTTTGTCGCAGCAAACCCATTACCTGCTTTCGAGTACAACAACCTGAAATATATTTTTATAAACTTACCTGTGGAGAGTTTAGCTTTCATAGTCTTTACATCAGCAGCGGTGACCACTTTACCAGTTCTCTCCTTGACACTTTCTATAAGTTCATCTGTTGATTGGGACCAAAAAATGTCTGGCTTCAAATTATCTTCCTCTTCTGACGACAATCTTCTTGTCCATGGATCACAAACCATCCATGAACTACTACATAGAAGATTGTGGAGCATCTTGTAGGATTTGATGACATATCCTTACTCCTCCAGTATTACACGGAACTTTGATTGTCAATTAAGGAATTTAGACCTTAAACGTCAGATATTAGTTAAAGTTCTCACGGTTTTTGATTCACTTTCAAACATTCCGAATTACGCTTATGATCAAATGTATAGTGAAAAGTGACAAACAGGTATTTGAACCTGATATCCTTCAGCAACTTGCTTTCCGTGTGGATCTAATTAGTATGGGTTGTCTGAGAAGGGATAAAAATATTCACCCAAAATTTTTGAAACTTTTTTAGCGCGCTATAAATGTCATCCCAGCATGCGAAACGCTTGTTCAGTTTCAGTCCACTGAAATGTCACTTGAGCATGAAGCACTACGAACATACATCATTAATTATAAAAAAGGAAGTACTACAAATATTTAAAATCTACCGGTGACCTGACATTTCGTTGAGGTTTACTACAGCAGTTGGGATTACAGATGAAGTTACGAAGCAACAACAGAGCCAACATGTACACTACAAAATAGGGAACGCTAAATTAATGCTTTCGGTAGTTATTCTGTGCTTTTTAATGCAGCAAAAAATAACTTAAATCTGTAAAGAATTGATACACATGCAACCGAAAAAACCCACGGCAATTGAAATACGGAATGATCGCGTATTGTCAGGCCGTTCTAGGTAGTTGAAGCGAAAGGGTGGGCAGCTTCGAAAGGCTCTTAAGTTTTTCCCATTCCCCACGCTTATAACCTGGCACAATCTCGGTATTCTTTCGATACGACGAGATTGCCAACGAATACATCTCGACTACAGCCATCAACTGCCTTCTGATATTTAGCTTACGAGGGATCTTATCGGTTAACTGGCACGTAGCCTTCCTGTATTGGTGATCATAGTCAACCACGACTCAACGCCACACTACAATTAGTGAGCTAAATCTAGTGGCACGTCTCAACCTCTGGTCAAATCTTCTAAAAAAGCCAATTGCGATGAGTCTATTACTCATCTATCCACGTCTGTTGCACATTTTCATATTGATATTTTTCAATATATAATATTCTGGCAACAAATTGAGATGACGGATAAAGATAAGAACAGTATTAATATAATGGACTCCGATGTACGCGTACCGAATCTTAGGTATATTTCATTCGCGCGACGATATATTCTACGCTTTATTCGAGAAATTTCCCCAATTAACTATTCTCCTCACTGACCCGGCTGCTTGGCACGGAACGCATACGCATTACCGTCTACCACCCAGCGTCGAATGGTTTAGTTGAACGGTTTAGTCACCAGCTTAAAAGTGCTCTGCGAGCACACGAATAGGACAACTGGCAAGAAAACTTACGGCTCGTCCTCTTGGGTATCAGAACGAACTTGAAGGCAGATATTCAGTGTTCCGCCGCTGAACTTATGTACGGCACGACATTGCGTCTGCCTGGGAAATTCTTCACATCACGGAGTAGTAACGATTTCAGTAAGCCAGACTATGCCCACCGACTGTCTGCATTTATGCGAACGCCGTCTCCGGTGTCAACTCGAATACAACATCGACAGGTCGCTCTCCCTCGAGAGTTATCTACCTGTTCACATGTTTTCATACTAGTAGATTCGGTATGCAAACCTCTGCAACAGCCTTACGAAGGACCTTTTCACGTGATCTCTTGCCACGAAAAGACCTTCAAGGTTGATCGACATGGTCGCGTCGAGATCCTCAGCATCGATCGTCCCAAACCAGCACACGTCGATGACAGTACCCTACCAGATAACTTGAGGCCCGATGCCAGACCTATCAAACCTATTAGCGTAATGCTTAAACCTTCTTCAGGTCCCACGCTAGATGCATCAGAGATCTTATTCTAACATCCCGGCCAACAGCACGCGTCATCCGCACCATCTACGGGCGAGACGACAGTCTCACGTCCAGATCAGCGGGCCACGCCGCTCTTGACTTCGAATGAGATTGCAAGCTCACGCGACACGAACGAGACTACCACTATGGTGTGGTACGATAACTCGAGCAGCAAATACAGTACACTTCTCCTGGTACTGTTCTACGAAAATGACCTTCGGTGGCAACTCGAGGATCAAAGATCGCTTCCTGTTCCGCCAACCTTTTCGTCCTACAATCGCACGTTTGCCGGTCAGTTCCATGAACAAAACCGCTACGTATCGAGTATGTAAACCCCTTCTGGCGAGATGCTTCTGTAGTGTCCTACTTTTATCAGGAGAACGTGGTTGGTTTAATGGAAGCAATTATTATTATAACCGATTGCACCAGTGGTTGTTTTACTGTACTTGTTTGTTTGACTGTACAGAAGACATTCTTCCTTCCTCTGATTGTGACCTTGCACGCTCTTGCGTCTGCTCAGTGATTCCGCTTGTACTCTTTCGATACCACGAGATCGCCAACAAATATATCTCGCTACAACCTTCAATCGCCTTCTGATGTCTGGTACGCAACCTTCTTGTAGTCGTGGTCATAGTCAATCACGACTCGACGCCGCACTACACAATGTTCTTTGGAAGAATGTTTTTCTCCACTTTTACGCGCCATAAATGTTCTGAATCTGATATGATGGAAAGAAAAATCAATTCTCGGTTGATTTACTCATTATGAGTTTTATTCAACATTACATCCATTCTAATTCAATGTGATGATCATTCACTGTATTATTTGTTTTCTTTTGTCGCATGATATTTTATTCTGTATAATACACGATAATCTTGTATTCCATTGACACGTACTATAATCAGTCTGTGATTTGTTATATGTGATTTAATCCTAATTGTTAATCAAAAATGGGTGTGCAATCAATATATAAACCAGTGTATTTTAGACTATTTTGATCATCGTTCGTCGTCGTGTTTTGGGGCTAATAAATCATCACTTATACTAGTCTCATGTTCTTACTTCGCGCCGTGGTAATTGCCGAGGTCCCTCGTTCCGAGCATAAGTGATCAGCTCTTCTTCCGGCACAGTAATCTGCGACGACCGAATATAACAGAATCATGTCCTCACCCTCTTTGATAAAGTTTATATGCGGTCGATCTAGGGTCATTTAAAGTTCATTTTAGTCTACAGCTTCAGGTCAACATTACTTCTTTAAACTCCCCGGTAAACGGAATATGAATCTTTTAATTCAAATGAAGGGGAATGCATCGAACATGGATTCTAGGCTAACATAAATCCGCAGGGCTATCAACATCGCTGATTTAAGCGGTAATTTTTAGGTTTCAGACGAACAGGAGGTGGCTTGATTGTCATATACAACTCAGGAAACCACAATAAAGTATTCCCGCTTGAAGTTTTTCACTCCAACGCGCGAGGTTGTAGCGTAGTATCGAGTCGCGGTTTTGACCAGAGGTTGACACGTGCCACTAGATTTAGCTCACTAATTGTAGTGTGGCGTTGAGTCGTGGTTGACTATGATCACCAATACAGGAAGGCTACGTGCCAGTTAACCGATAAGATCCCTCGTAAGCTAAATATCAGAAGGCAGTTGATGGCTGTAGTCGAGATGTATTCGTTGGCAATCTCGTCGTATCGAAAGAATACCGAGATCGTGTCAGGTTAAATGTGGTGTTACTGAGCCTAAATGAATTCGTGCAAGGTCACAACCAAAGGAAGAATGTATATATTTTGGTACAGTTAAACAAACGAGTACAGTAAAACAATCACTGGTACAATTGGTTATAACAATAACTGTTTCCATCAAACCAAACGCGTTCTCTTGATAAAAGTAGGTCACTACAAGGTAATCCTCCGAAGTTTATTAGTTTTAGGGCTAAATTAAAGAGTTGAATGTGTATATCTGCAAAGATACTCATCATTTCTTCATCATGTCTCTTGATGTCTACTTTTTCCTCACTATTTTCATACTTTATCCTATTTTAGATATATTTGTTGTGCACAACAATTTCAACCGTCTGTACCTTTAGAGGCACAATTAAAGTTGAAGGTCGTCCCTAGCATGACTGCAGGCGATAAGTTGTCAGGTGTGCAGCAGCTGTTATCGACGAGGAGCGTAATATCAGATATTAAACACTCAATCGCTATCAAGTGTGAAAACATCTTGAGATCTCCGGAGGAAAATGTAACATGTATATTCTCATTTATCCCTCAAGATTAACTTACTTAGAGACATTATAAAGACTTTTGAATCTGAACATTTCCGAAAACTCAGACAAATTAGGGCTTTGGTTATTGCCTCTTTGTGTGTCGTTTTCAAGGACGTGCTACCTGCTTACCGCATACGACCTGCTACTGAGAAAGAAAAGTCTCAACCGGTAACTAAACGCACAGCAATTATGTTTTTCTGCAGACTAAAAAAGAAACTAGGAAAATATGGTATTATGAGGAACACTTACTTTTAAATTACCGGAAGTATACTGAATTGCTCAGAGTTATCCTAAGAGGTATTTGCGTTAAATACAATTATTTCCAGACAAGTGTTTGGACATGAAGTCTCCTCGTTTGAAAATATACTCAAAATTGGATTGGAATGAAGTAGTCTTGTAATTTTTTAGTGACGTTTTGCAGAACGAAAAGCTAACTGCCATAAGGTGCGTCTGTCAGCTCTTAGAAAGTCATCCAGACTTCAACTACAGCAAAGAGTTAATAGAAGTTTTACCCCCTTACCTCAACATTACAAGGACGCAGGTGATAAACGAAACGTTATTTAACTATTTACAGGTTTCTTCACTGATAATAAAGACTCTGAATAACATGTTTGAAAACGATACTGATCGAGACGTTACTCTAACGGTACTATTCAATTTTTTTTCAGTTGACTTTAAAAGATCTGTCGTACCATTCATCGCTTTTGTCGGTCAAAGTCTTATAAAGTTGGAGTCTCCGTCATTAAGGCTTTGTCCTGTGTCTCTATTACAGAGGTCGAACGCCATGAAGAGGAAGGAAAGCCTAAGCTCGATAGGCGTCTACGTTCACGGCGTGAAAGAAAGGTTAGTGCTTAACATTTTTCATTGTGCCAAAATACATCAAAGTTTGTCATTGTTAGCCTCAGTAGTTCAGCGTAACTCTTAAATTAAGTACACAATGGGTACTATGTTCTTAGCAAAAACATGGTAATTTACTTATCAAGTACATATTTATATGTTCGGTTTTCATCCACACAGAGAGCTAGTGTCACTAACCGATTTCTAAAGCCCAACTGAATTAAGTCTCATCAAGTGAAGCAACTCAAAACGATTCTGACTAGGGTATGAGAATTTGGATGATATCTTTAAGTCGTTGTCAGTAGCCTAAATCCATTCATTCCTTATTTTCTTTGAGATATAATAATAATAATTATTATTATTATTATTAATTTTCTAGTCATCGATTACGAACATCGTTTTTATATTATATTGCATAAAGCCCCCTTGCTATCATCGATACAATTATTTTGGCATCTACGAATTTCATGTTACTTTCTTCCTGTTGTGCTTGCTCTCACGTTTTTGATGACTAACTGGTCTGGACAGATGAGTAAACATGTGTATCAATAACAACACTTATTTGTATTTCCCTTTATGTACCTGCTTATTGGTTTATATTAATTCCCAACAATTGGTGTTACAGTATTACTTGCTTTAAAGTTCTCTAAATGTCCTTACACAATGTCAGTCAGTCAGCTACAACGTAGAACCAGGCACGTATATGCACCGGTCCAAGTTGCCATATCTTAATAACACAACAAGATGAACACCGAGTTCATAGAAGTAGTTACTTCAATAGTAGTAATGTGTAAAAGAAATATTGTGTATAAGGATATAATACAGGAAGCAAGAATTAGTTCGTAGAAAGAAAGACAAAGCAATTTTAATCCCACGGTTTAAGGAGAGACAAGGGGTGTATACACCTACACCATTGTGATCGATTCTTAGCCATGTCACTCAGAGCCTCTAATAATTGGTTACGATAGTTACACGGGCCCCAACCAAGTAGTCTGCATCTACCAACATGGCTCACACCAGAAGTTCGTGACTTCAGTGACTGATGCCACGTTTTGGTATGGCCACCTGTAACTTCCTTCCAACCATCCCAACACTAGTCAGCATTGCGCGTCATGGTAATCGGTGTTCAGGCGTACGTAACACATGGTCCAACCATCTCAGTCGATGAAAATTTACAACCTCACCAACTGATTTACTATCATTCCGTAATGCCCTGCGTGTAACCTCACTATTACTTGCCCGGTGGTCCCAACAGATGCGAGCAATATTTCTAAGACACCTGTAATCAAATACCAGTAGCCTACGAGTATCCTCTACTCTTAATGGCCACGTTTCACAGCCGTAAAGTAGAACGAACTGCTGGGCAGTATACTCGTCCCTTAATTCATATACGAATATCTCGCCTTCACCGTAGGTGACGTAGGTGTTTGATTCCTTGTCAATTAATCATTACCAAATGAAGAGATATACAGGAAATACGATTTTTATACCCTGCAACACTAATCGATATTCGGTCGCTTTCTTCTGCGTCTACTTATTGGTACTGCAAACAAATTTGTTGCAACCAAAACTGGTAACTTGCTTTGTAAATAGTTTCCTAAAAATACTATTTCACATATCATTTTCATTTCTTAGGAGTCCAAAATGGAGCGCAAACTTCAGAAGGAGATGGCTGAAACCCAGTCCCTTCAAACAAGAGAAAAACGTCTGAAAATGGTAAATGTGATTTCCTTCATGATATTATTTTCGAATGTTAGAACACCTTGGTTATGAATGAAGTACTGTTTGTTTTCTTCAAAATTTTGAAAACAACATCTGACTCTGAACTTTTGTCTGCCATTTTCAAAGGATTATCTAAGTAATTTCTTTTTAACTTTACGTAGTATGTCCACCATTTTTCAGATACGCCAAGTTAATCAACACACAGTATGTTGACAATCTTATGTCTGTTCTAAATGGGATGGTAGCAAAAAAAGTAAGTACTGTCTTTTTGTTACTAGAAATTAATTTCAAATTTTGTGAAACACGTATGTAATGAAACAGCCTTGGTTAACTTAGTGTGATAACGTGTTTGTTTGTCCACTGATCATGCTTCGTAAGTCAACAGACAACCGCAAAACATTTCTGACTTGTTCATTAAATTAAAGTATCAACTCAATGAGGCCACCTTGAAAAATAACAGCTTCATTATGTATAAATACATATTCGCCACGCAATAACAATGAAGTGAAGAGATAGTGAATGTAAAGTGAGCATAATAAAGAGAGCAACAACAAACAGAGATTAGTGTATGAGAGTGAAATAATAATGAGTGAAGCAGTTCAGTTAGTAAAGGTACAACCAGAAAGAATTCTTCCAGTTAAAGAAGTTACTTCCATTTTTTATGAAGTAAAATAAAGTTGCAGCAGGGTCGCCATTCGCTTCTACTCTGAAACATATCTGACATTGTCTCCAGCCACTGTGTTGCACCATCCCTAGGACCCTAACTAGGGCCAAAAAGCCAGTCCTGTATAACTTTCTTCCATACTACGATGCCATGTCATACACTGACCACGTCTCCGCTTTTTCCAACCAGTCCCGATATCCGCAAATAATGCGCGATGTGGAATTCTCTGGGACGACATTCGTAGTGCATTTCCAAACCACCGAAGCCGATGTTTCAAACAATTCAATTATCGCCGCTGTGCTCGAACATACGATGCTGAACCTCTGCATTACTGGCATGGTGCTGCTACTGGATGTCAGCAATCCTTCGGAGACAATGATGGTCAAACACAAAGAGTCGTCTAACATCCTCAACTCGAAGAGGCCAGGTTTCACAAGCATAGAGCAAAACTGCTCTCACTGACGTGTTGTAGATCTAACATTTTACAGTCAGACAAACATCACGAGGGCGCCAAAGATGGCTCAGATTGGCATAAGGCTCTCTGCCTTGCACTGTACGTGAATTGATCTCATCACTCACGCCACCATCAGCACTTATGCAGCTACCTAGATACACGAACTTCTCGACTACTTCTATTTGCTCACTACCCAGGGTGAGTGCAGGATCAGAGTGCTATCAGTCTTGTAAAAGTACTTTGCACTTCGAAGGTGCACATACCATACCTACGGACACTAATTGCCAACTGACTAAGTGCTGGTTGCATGGCTTAGGTATTATCGCACAGTAAGACGTTATCCTTTTTAAGTCTCTAGAGAAAAACTACCCTTCCATGATGTGGGCAACTGACAATGACAACCATCCTCATACCTCTAACGACACGCAAGGTCATATAATTTACGATACGACAATGTATGGCTCCCAACTGGGATAGTACTAATAACGATATTAGTAGTTTAAAAGTGGAAGGCTCAATAAAACCAAAAAAACAGTCGATATAGCGTAAACAATTTTTTTCTGTTCACAAAAATAAAATATCATCAAATCTGCACATAAAACTTATCAACATTTCGCTCATCAAATTGTTTCATTACCTTTAAGCCATACTTTAGGACTACTTTTATATCAAACTAATTTTTGATATATCGCTTTCACTATAGGTGTCACAAGTCGACAAAAGCCTGTCAGCATTTCTGTAAAGCGGCAAACACCTTAATAACCAGACTTAATCAAACGAAAAGATGGTAAACTTGTCTAACAGGTTTTATCTTCTATTTCGGCAAAAAAAGTATTTAAAAGAGCGTGATTTTCGAAACCACATTTGAGTAGTCTTCTAAATGTAGAATAAACTTACTAAAGATAAATATGCAAAAATGCGGCATATAGGACTAAAATCTCTATGACGAAAACCCATCTTTTTTAGTTGCTCACAAAGCCGTTGGTTTAATGTCTATAGCATCCAGATACGCCCATATGCTACTAAACCAAGTTATAGTTAGCATCTTCGTTCATCCACAACATATTAAGATAACTGCTTTTTTGTTCCGATTTTCTACTATGTACGTGTATCATCACTTCCTTTTACAGTCAACCAGCATTGTGGATGGTCTACATTGTGTACATACAGCTTTGTCTATCATATCGTCATCTGATGCGTCTGATGTTCTCACTACAGATCCTACTACATTTTGTAATCATTTATACACTATCCTGGGACGCATCGCGGGCGTCGGTGTGAGTAATATAACAGAGAGTGACAATGCAGTTTCTCACTTATCTTCCATAATCAAAGCCTATGATCGCTCGAATACCCCAGCTGCACAAGCTGTTGCCAATCTTGTGCAACGATCTAAAATCACCGAAAGTTCGAATAAAACTACATGTTCAGATGAAACCACTTCTGTTACTGCCAGTATAAGCAATAGGATTAGTGCGTACGAAATGGAACATATCTCAGATACCCTTATATCTTGTTTAAATATGCTTCTTGTGAGAAGAAAACATGAGGTTTCAACCAACCGAATCCTCGCATTCTCGAAGCGTTTATCTAGCGCAGCTTTGGCAGTAGTAAGTCTGGAATTATTTATATATTCACAATGTCTTAATATTTATATAACGTATCTATTTAGAGCAAACTTTTTAGCCTGGTGTCCTATATAGAGAGAATAAGCCTGGGTCTAATATCAAATATTTACCGAAAAAAATGTATGCCAACGAAATTAAACGACATTATTGGGAATTTAATACTAAAATAAAACCTGTTATCCAACCAGTAAACTTTTTTATTAAGGTATTGATATACTACTTCGCTCACAGCAACCAGATAGCATATTTAACAATCACACTAAGTGCGACTCGGAGTCTTAAACACAAGTGTGTATTTGTTTTCGAATTTCGCATAATATTAACTTTATTCTTTCTTGTTTGTTACGATCCTCAACAATTATACCTAATGACCAGGTCTTGGCTGATTGAAGACTGAATGGGATATAAGTCGATTTTCTCTGGTCATCTACGAAAATTTACCAGGCTTATTTTGTGGTAATCTTTTGTACATAAGCATGTTATTTTACTACATAATTGGTGTATTCTTCTAGCTGGTGGTCTTATCTCTGGTTTTAAATCACTCGGTTTGGATCAATAATACGGTATCGTGAATAGCAATCATTCAGCTACATCGTGGCACTGCATCTCAAACATCAATCAGTATTCTTTTTGTTTGTTTTAGAAATCGGAAATTTCGTCCTAAAAATCATTGAGATCCTATCACTAACAGTAGCGACAAAAAAAGATTTTCAGCAAATATTCTAAATACTATCATCAGCTTAGCAGTCAGTAAGGTGTGTAGTGAATCTTTTGAGGTCATTATTAATCTGGTTGTGGATAAACATTTAACATCTTGCAAATTCCTGACAGGTGTTGTCAGATTTTAACCATCCACTCCATTCATATCTTTTTCCATGTATATTCTCTGGTAAAACGAGGCACCAATACATTAGAATCCATGCACGCAAGCAAAAATATAAAAGCTCTACAATATTTTATCTAGCAAATATACTATGTTACGGACAGGTTGTTAGAGCTGATCTAGTCGACTAGAACTTGTATTCTTAAACATATTTTCAATTAAAAAATTGCACAGATTCTAATCTTTTTAAAAAACATTTCATTTAATTCTAGTTAGCTTATTAACTTAATTTATGTATACATTAGTTGAGATCATGAGTCAATTATTAATTATTATTATTATTATAAGCTTTATTCAATATTATATTTTCAGTACAATATAGAATTCTCAGCACAAAGTATTTCAACAAGTTTCCGTTTCTTACTTCTTGGTCGATAAATATTGAGTGATACCCAGTTAGATGTTAGCAGTCCAGTAAATGAACATTTGAATAGTGTATATTCTTTTTGCTGTATATTGCCAGCAACCACATTATCTCTTATTGGGCTTTTTGTAACTTTGCAACGAAAAGTTGTACAGTTTTCAGAAATGCACCAGGATATGTTATGCGATTAATAGACATAATGGTATATTAAAACAAACAAAAGTAGATAACTTGTTGAAATATCTAGATGGCAGGAACAGGTAGCCCAGATGCTCAAGCTAGACCACCATGGAAAACCTGAAAGCACTGGATAGCCGTTTCGTCCTATTGTGGGACTCCTCAGCAGTGCGCATCCACGATCCCGTCTCGCGGGATTCGAACTATTGGAATGACTAAAATCTCCACAAAACCCTATTCTGATAATAATCAACATACGCTCACTAGTGACTGGCTTAAAGATGTATATCCTGGAGTTCTAGTGAGAAGCAGTGACCAGTTTTGTATACATGTATGTTTTTTGTAAGAGAAACCTGTTGAAGTACTTTGTTTTGATAATTCCACGTTGCACCAAACATAATATTGAATGAAGCCATTAATAATAATGATAATAGTAATAATAATACCATGAATAGAATGAGTAAATTGGTACTTTCCCGATTTAATGAAAGTTAGTCACTATTCAAAAACTGTAATTAACCAAGTGAAACAAATATACAGTGTGCTTTTAATTCATTGTACGCTCCTTAGCTACGTACAATTTAATAAACAATTAGAAAATCAACATATTTGGAAACTAAGAGGAATTTTAACAACATGGCATAACAGTAAATTCCTGGGATTGTAAAACCGAAACGTCATATTCTAGCTCCACTCATAATCAGGTAAAGTATGATAATTAGTAGTCGAGTCGATATGCTAACTGGTAATTCCCAGGACTTTTTAATTTGTATTCTCGCAATCATGTATGAACCAGTAAGCCAGAGAAAATACTGTGCACATCGGAAGGTTTTATATTTTGTAATTTAAATCAGGTGTGGAATAATGTACAGATGAATTATTAAATAACAGAAACATCACATAAAGGTTCATACTTTCAGTTTAAAACTACAGAGGCGAAACTGTAGTCTACAGTTCAGCAACTGGTCAAACGATATAACTACTAAAACATTGATCTAGTCGTAGCTAAAATACTGGTTCAAATTCCGTGAATCTGATCAAAGTGTTTTCTGGTAGCTTCTTTCAAAAAGTTTGCATTTTGATGTATACTTCAGTCCATTAAAAAATTGTATCATTTGAATATTAGTGCACAACTTCAAGTAATAATCAAATAAATTAAAAAAAAACCTTTCTCAACTTCAGTCAGATCCATACTGCTCCAGTTCCTTGCTTATCAAGCTTTTCCATCTTCTTCGGCTTTTTCCGCGTTGTGAAATTCTATTCGACTGTGATCCAGAAATATGCAGTAACTATAAACCAGATGTAAATGATCCAGAATTATGCTTTCCTGCCAGCGCATGTTTATGGGACCTACTTCTATTAAAAAAGCATTCTAATCCCGTGGTAAGAAGTTTTGTTTAAACAGTATTTTCAGTCATATTATTTGGCTGTTAAATATATTATCCTAATGAATTCACAGTTCGGTGATTAATAAATCTACTAGAGCTGAATTGTCAGTCTCTCGGTTATTATTTCAAAGTGAGGACCAAATAAAAATTTAAATCCCCTTTTAGCATGGAAAAACAATGTAGTCTTTATGTCACGATAGCTTCCTATGGAACAGATATAACCAAATCCACAGAGTCAAATTGTTCGGTAGATTTCAATCTAAAATGGTAGTGTTGTTTATTTAGCATATATATCATGTATATACACCAAACTTACTGAATTACACTTAGGTTTTTTAAATAGTATTCGACCACACTATCATTTGATAAAGTACTTAAACTATTGACCCTGATTTCGGATCTAGTGAGCAGTTGTCATCCATTCATGCTTGACCAAAATTTCCATATGTTCTGTATAAATAATAAGTGAATTTGAAAACCCAGTCTACCTTAAAAAAAGTTGTACTTTCTACTACGGGGTTATTTAAGAGCCCTAATTCATACGTAACTTTTAGTTCGACTTATTCGATTTTCTTACGGATTAATACCACGCTGCATTCCCACGATCATTTGCTCGATTGAAATCTACCAACGAAGTAGTCAATATATATAAAACTGCTAAACTAACAGATTATGACCTGTAGTTATTTTACTTTGTTAATTTTGAATGGTCTTTGGAATTTCCTTATCATTTCATAACAGTTAGTCAATTATACAAATGTGCCTTAGCTCTAGTTGTCCCACTGCATCAATACGACGAAATGAAATCAACGTAATGAGTAGCAAAGGAGTCAAGATCATCGTAGTAGTAATGATAGTAACAAACGCTAAACATTTTGAACGGTGTTCGAGAAGTGTTATAACTTGTGACCGCCGATTAGAGAGCGGTGACTTATCGATCGGAACAATGACGCGTAAACACGTGCGAGCAGTCTAGGGTTCTGATTGGCCCTGCTTTCCGCTTAGCCCAGCCAGATAAGTACAGAACACAAGTCTCAGCCTCTACGATATGAATCATTATATTTCAAACATACTCTGTTTATATACCAATCAAGCAGACCACATCGTACCATAAAATAGAAAATAACATTTGGCCAACAGGAAAATTACACGTGAAATAAGTATTGACCAGTAGGAAAATGATACGTGAAATAAATATTGACCAATAAGAAAATGATACCATCTGAAGTCCAAGGATAGCATTAGACTTAACAGAATAATTTTTGGGATATTTTTCTGAATATCCCAACAAGAAGTTTGTTATTTATTCTTAGAACTTATGGCATGTCATGTATTATTTCATATTCTTCTGGTTCATTGTCTTTCAAAATACTTTTTTATAGGTAAATCAACTAGCTAATTTAATTATGCAATGGGGAAACGATGTTTGTGTTGGGGGGATAGGAGTTACTTCGACAAAACAGTACATGCTACATATCGATGGGAGACAAGTTTCTTTAGACCATCTAACGCATCTGTCATCTGATGATCTCCGTATTGAATTAAAGACGCTTATCGAGAAAGACATTAGCGTTCCTGAAATACAATCCACAAAACAAATAAACACTTCCGACTTCCAGTTATCGGATTCATTCATAAAATATTTATCAGAATATGATCTAACTTCAGATGTTGAGCCACCAGCAAAGAAAATGAAGTCATTATAATATTTTAAATTAAGCTAGTATTCCTGTAAAGTTAAGCGTACTGGATGACGCTTGAATAACTCCTACTTTTTCATATACACAATAAAATTACCATAAAATGTGAATCAATTTTACTTGACAAAAATAAACACAAAATAACAGGCTGGTATTTAAACATTTTTATAGCGTATAGTATAAGCGTAGTGGACGAAAACAGTTGGGGGACAACCAGTTGTATTTTAAAACAAAATTAAAGAGTATCTTAGTAAAATATAAGAACCATACACAAAATACTTCATCTGAAAATATCCTATTAATTGTCTCAAACTTTATTACTCTCAGTCCCCGTTCTCTTCGATCCTATCTTTACAACCTGCCTCCAGGCATTCCACTTCTGACTAGTGTCATATACTACTTATGTCAACATAAGTAGCATACACCACGAGCACATCAAAATAGAGACAATAACCAACAGTAAACCATAAAATCCTGACAACCAACCATATAGTTTTTTACAACTATCCAAATTCCCTATAATCCTATTTATTTTGCTTTTCTGCTTGTAATCCTGTCCTGTAAAGTTTGTACAAGATATACTGTTGTAGAAGTGAAAACCTGAAGCAATGCGTTTATGCAAAATTCTACTAACCAACTAACTTTAGAATACTAGCCGATATAGTTTGAGAGGCGACTCCTTTCAATTCATATCGGTACTGTGATAACGCCCTGACAGATCCTTCGGCTATGGGCAAAGATGGATGGTGGCTAGCAGTGGAATCCAGGACGCGCATTTCTTCCTGTTTGGGATTCGTCAACTAGATGTACCTGCATGCTAGATTTGATGTTCACTCCGGGACTCCAACCCAGTACCGTTCGCCAAAAATGCTATCGCATTGTTCACTTAGCACAAGCTAGTGGCTGTCTGGACTCGGTAGCTAAATGGATAATACGATAACGTTGGAAGTGAAGGGTAATTAGTTTCAGTTGCGGAGTTAATATCGACTCTGATATGCAGATACATCCAACTGAAGTGTCCCGGATAAAAAAAGACCTACGTCCTGGATTCCACTACTAGCTACCATTCATTCTTGCTTATAATGCTTGTGACCTAAGGTAATATTGAAGCAATTCGCACAGGAAGCACGTATGCCAATAAGTGGTTGTTCAATTAAAGATCTAAACATCAACGGAAAGATACAATCAAACGATGTGAAAATAAATGCATCCTTCATCTGTTAAAAGAGGTGGCTTTTGCTTTGTCCACTTCTACCCACAGTAATTAGCAAAAACTACTTCAAAGATGGTAGATAATAGTTCTCGAAAATACTTTGACTGATTTATCTTTTAGGGGTACTGCTAATGACCACATATTAAGTCTCTACATGTCATTTAATTCGTGAGACCATCTAATGTAGGTAACGACTCTTGCTTATGTGGATGTGTTCAAATACATTATCTGGTTCCATAAACTTGCCTGTAGGAGCAACTGTATCATTTCATTTTTGACACTTCAAATAAGTCTACGCCTACTGTGGAACGTCACGATTCATATGTAGCTACACGTACATAACTCTTACGAACGTAAATCGCGCGAATACCGGGATGTAAAAGGCCATACGGCTTGTTGAAAATGGTTCTTAATGATCGTGGTACGGAGATGTAAATGATCATCAGCTGTTGCTCTGTTCACGACCAAATAGCCAATATATACATAAGAGGGCGAATTCTGAACTATCTGTTCAATAAAGCGAGGTTCTTCTGCAACATTAATTTTGAAAACTTGTAGTTTGCTGCACAAGATTTCGGTCCGCAAACATTTGATTGTAAGTACGTGGTAGTCAGCGGATAGCCAAATCCTTCCAAAGAATCATATCCAACAAAGAGGATTTAGACTGCAAAATGGTCCAGTTTCAGCAGTTTACCAAATCCATCTTTTGCAATTTGTAGTTTTTTTAGAATGCAATCGACGTGATATTACAGCAACTGGTAGACTGTACGTTTCAAATTGATTCAATGAACAAGTGTGCAGTAATATCCCTGCTTGTAATCCTAAATTTCCAAAACAAAAACCACGTGTAACATCTGACTTGGGATATGCTGTTCTCCTATCATCTCATAAACATAAAGCTGTTGACTGAGTACATGTATGGTTTTCAAAATCAACTTGTATCGCTAAAGCTTTTGACACTAGACTAAAACATATCAAAAACAATTCGCTAATCATTCACTCAATTTACTTACCGAGTACATGTTAGCTTACTCGGCTTCGAGTCACAATTCCAGTGTAAGGATTATTGGAATTACTCGGTTACCCAAACCCAAGTTAGTGGAACGGGGTTTGAGCCTGAGACTTACTAGCTGAAAGTCAAGCGCCATAACTGCTGACTAATTGATTAAGCAGTGTGAAGATATTGGAATATCTTAAGAACTACCTCAGTAGATGTAAAGTTTGATAACCACTATTTACAACCAATTATCCGAATCAATGAATTAGTTACATAAGAATAGGGTTAATAAGATGCTTATATACACAAGAAGTTGAAGGAATTTAAACGAAATTACATTACAAACGAGGTTTAATTTTTGTTGAACGTTTGTTATCACCTAAAATTTTCGTCAGGTCATCGTAACTGAGAACTTCGTTCTTTAAAAGAGCATCAATAAGTGCTAACAGGTTGTCCTTATTTTCTTCCAACATTTTTACAGAACGCGAAAATGCTGAAGATAAAAGTTGATTGGCTTCTATTTCCATGATGGCTTCCGTTTTTTGACAGAACGGTTTCAGAGAGGACAGTCCACTGGATGACTCCTCCTAAAATGTAAATGAAAATGATCACTGAGCAATCTTACATAATAAATGTGCAGGAGCATGAAACTTGTCTGTAGTTTCAGACAACCTGACTTAAATAACTTTGTTACTAATTTCAATCCACTGTCTACGACGGCGATGGTGTCAATAGAAAAGTTGTCAGACAAGTCCTATTTACTCTAAGCCATAATTACAATCTAAACAGATAGCCTAACACATGATAAATGGCTGGCTTCATTATGATCTATTTAACTCCAAGTATCGGATAAAAGAGGTGGGTCTGACTAAAAAACTCGTTCACTGTAGTATTTGTACGAACGAATAATTCCTTTGTACTTGATTTCCCGCTAATTACGAATTACAAATATAATACGTTTATTGTGCTCATATAATGCTGTCTGCCTTAAAGTGTACTATTTAGGGAATTCTTAGTACATTAATCCGAACATTTATTTATCATATTGGCGTCGCGATGGAGTCAAACTTCGGACAGTTGGATATTAACCCAAGTAAGGATGACTTTGAGAACCACATATAGCGCTTCAAGATCTGGTGCATGACTAGAAAACGTATTAAAGATGATAAATTCACAGCCTAATTCCTGACGTTCTTGGGCAAAGAAGATTATAACCTGCTGAAGAATCTGACTTCTCCACAAAAACTAATTTCATTGTCGTATAAATCACTCAGAGAATTATCACATAGTCATGTGCAGTGTACTAGCTATAAATGTAGAGACATCGAAGTTTTATAAAATGATCAGAAAGTTAAGGTCTTATACTTGAACTGTAGAAACAGGTCGCGAAGCGCAATTTCGAAAACCGATTGGAAACAGTTTCGTGATCGGTTGATTGCTAGTAAAAATATTCCGAATTAAGGAAGGGAATTAATTCAGCAGCGCAAAAGTTCATCCCAAGAAATCTAAACAGTGAATGAGGTTGATTTGTAGTCAGTGAAAATTTCTAGTACTTTGCTTAATCATCGTGATGAACTACATTCTCAGCAACACTCGAACTCGCATTTGCTTAATAATGGTTCCCATTCTCATAGAAATATGAAAAGTGATTTAACATTCAATTACAAAGCAGATGAGCACAGGTTTGGTAGATGTTTATCCTGTTGTAAATTTCACTTACGTAATCCATGTGTCTTTCGTCATGCCAAATGCTTTATGTGTGGTAAAATGGAACACATCATGTCGGTCTGTAAAGCTACTGTTCACTTTGCCACTAGTGATGATAAACCCTATAATTCTGATTTTATTCAGTTGAGTGTTTCTAATCATCATTTATCTCTATCCATGATTTCGAAAGGTAATGTCCATATTCAGAAGACATTATTATGTACATCACATGGTTCATTTCATGACTTTAGTGCTGACACAGGCAGTAATGAGTCTAAAATTTCATCCAAGAACTTGAAAATTTTAGATTCTAACGTTGTAGTATGACCCACTGAATTCTTAGTATTGGGATTTACTGGACAAAAACTACCCATACGAGGATGTGTGAATTGCTGATTAGAAATGATAATTCCTCATAATGCCTTGTGAGTTTTTAGTTAGTGAAACAGGACCCTCATTACTGGGTTTGAAAATGCTTAAAATGGGGTTTTTTATTAGTTTCTAAAGAAGATTCTATCGCTTTACTTAAAGATTTAATAGCTGCGTGTGCTAGGTGCAGTGGAGGGATGAGAATTCAGCACATAGAAATTCAAGTACAGAGTGATCCAGTTTGTCTTAAATATACGAATAATTCCTTATCGTCTTTGAGAAGTGGTACTTTGAAGTGGACATTGAATTATTCGTACCCCTATAATATGTGGTAACTATTGATTACATTGAACTCCCGTTTATTGAAGTAAATATGCACAACGGTTAAAGCTGAAAATATTCTTAATAGACTTCATGGTTTTAAGGTATTCTTGAAAGTTAACTTAAAAGATGCTTATTTTCAAACCCCTTTAGATCAATTTTCATCTACTTTGACAACAACTAATACTCTTTTTGGCCTGTACAAATACAACTTCCTTCCATTTGGTCTGAGTTGTTCTCCAACCACATTTCAGGAATTGATGTATAATGAAGTTAGTAATCTTGAAGATGTTGAATTTTATCAAGATGACGTCATTGCTCATGATTCTGATGAGGTGGTTCATGACCAGAGACTTATTGCTTTATTGCATCGTTTAATTGAGAAGAATATTACAGTGAATCCAAATAAGTGTTCATTTTGTGTATCTAGTCTCGAATGTCTTGGATACCTAGTTGATGGTAATGGTTTTAGACCAGATATGAAATGACTAGCTCCACTGACATGCATCGTCTCCAAAAAAATCTTACAGAACTACGTTCACTAGTGGATGCTCTTCAATACTATTCCCGTTTTGTTACAAATTTTTCTTGTCGCGCAAATTGTTTATTTAATATTTTGAAATCCAATTCATTCAAATGGGGTGACGAACAAGAGTCATGCTTACGAAGTCTACTAAATTTTCTTCAAAGTGATGCTGTTCTTCGAACTTTCTCCTCTAGTGTACATTTTATACTTATTACTGATGCATCACCTGTGGGTATTGGTGCAGTTTTGGAGCAGGAAGGTAGACCAGTTATCAGTGTTTCACGCAAACTTACTGTTGCTGAACAAGGTTATTCACTAAACCACCGAGAAGTATTAACTGTGTTTTGGGCTGTTAAAAGACTTCATAAATATTTATTTGAGAAGAAATTCACTAATGTTACTGATCATAAGGCTTTAAGGTTCATTTATCATCCTGAAAAATCTTTAGCACGTTCCTCAGCTCCTATGGTTCAACAATGAAGTATTGCCCTGAGTGCCTATGACTACATTTCTCGACAATCATTACAAGATAGACCTGTTAATACCTCAGACTATTTGTTAGTGCAACCTTTACCGATGAGACGTCCAGATCTCATTATTGAAACTCGTGGAAGCTTTGGATATATACTCAGTGCTATGCGGAAAGGTTGTAATACTAATCTGAAACGTATATTTCCTGTCTATTTTGTGTTTAAATGATCGTGTTGTTATCCCTCCTTCATTACGTTAATCTGCCTGTGAAAATCTTTATAAGCAGACATTAAGGTGTTAAGAAAATTAAGTACTTGACAAGGCTCACACGTTGGTGGCCGGAGATGATTTACTTACTTACTTACTTACGCCTGTTACTCCCAATGGAGCATAGGCCACTGACCAGCATTCTCCAACCCACTCTGTCCTGGGCCTTCTTTTCTAATTCCATCCAATTCTTGTTCATTTTTCTCATGTCTATCTCCATTTTCCGGCGTAATGTGTTCTTTGGTCTTCCTCTTTTCCCTTGACCTTCAGGATTCCATGTGAGGGCTTGTCTTGTGACGCAGTTGGGTGCTTTCCTCAATGTGTGTCCTATCCACTTCCAGCGCTTCTTCCTGATTTCTTCCTCCGCTGGGATCTGGTTTGTTCTCTCCCACAGTACATTGTTGCTAATAGTGTCCGGCCAACGGATCCGAAGCATTTTGCGTAGACAATTGTTAATAAACACCTGTATTTTCTGGATGATGGCTTTCGTAGTTCTCCAGGTTTCCGCCCCATACAGTAGAAGTGCCTTGGCATTTGTGTTGAAAATCCTGACCTTCGTGTTGGTTGACAGTCGCTTTGAGTTCCAGATGTTCTTCAGTTGTAAATATGCTACTCTTGCTTTGCCGATCCGCGCCTTCACATCTGCATCAGATCCACCCTGTTCATCAATGATGCTGCCCAAATATGTAAAGGTTTTTACATCTTCCGAATCGTCTCCGTCAATTTTGATTGTATTGGTGCATGCTGTGTTGTATCGGAGAATCTTGCTTTTCCCTTTCTGCATATTGAGACCTACTGCTGCTAGGGCTGCTGCCACACTGTTCGTCTTCTTCTGCATCTGTTGTTGCGTTTGGGATAGAAGGACCAGATCATCTGCGAAGTCTAGATCGTCCGGTTGCATCCTAGATGTCCATTGTATCTCGTGCTTCCCTTCAGATGTCGACGTCTTCATGATCCAGTCGATCACCAGGAGAAAGAGGAAGGGTGAGAGTAAGCAACCTTGCTTGACACTGGTCTTTATTTCGAACGAGTCTGTTAACTGTCCTCCATGCACGATTTTGCAGCTTAATCCATCATATGAACTCTGTATGATAGTGACTATCTTCTGAGGCACGCCTTTGTATCGAAGAAGCTTCCATAGTGTTGTCCTGTCCACACTATCAAATGCTTTTTCGTAGTCAATGAAGTTGATGTAGAGTGATGAATTCCATTCAATTGATTGTTCCACAATGATCCGTAGAGTTGCTATTTGGTCTGTACGCGGTCGATACTTACGGAATCCAGCCTGTTGGTCTCGAAGTTGAGCGTCTACGGAGTCCTTCATTCTGTTTAACAATACCCTGTTGAAGACTTTTCTCGGTATTGAGAGAAGAGTGATGCCCCTGTAGTTATCACACTTGCTGAGGTCGCCTTTCTTTGGTATTTTGATCAGAAGTCCCTCTTTCCAGTCTGTTGGTACTTGTTCCTCATCCCAAATCTTATTGAAGAGGATGTGGAGTATCCTTGCAGTTGTCGGTATGTCTGCTTTTAGTGCCTCTGCTGGAATGTTGTCCGGTCCTGCTGCTTTGCCACTCTTGATTTGTCTGATGATCATGCTGATTTCTTCGATTGTTGGTGGGCCAAAACTGTTTGGGAGGTCCGTGGGTGCTGCTTCGATATTGGGTGGGTTCAGTGTAGCTGGTCGATTCAAGAGTTCTTTGAAGTGTTCTACCCACCTGTTTTGTTGCTCTTCAATGTTGGTGATTATCTCACCTTCCTTGCTTTCCACTGGTCGTTCTGGTTTGCGGCGATTTCCAGAGGGTTTCTTTGTCGTGTCATACAGTTGTCTCATGTTTCCTTCTCTTGCAGCCTTTTCCGCCGTCGTTGCTAAATCTTCCACATATTTACGTTTGTCGGTCCTGATGCTCCTCTTCAATTGCTTGTTTACTTCTGTGTATTCAGTTTGTGCCTTGGCTTTCTCTGCTCTTGTTCGGCTGGTATTGATTGCTGCCCGTTTGCTCCTCCTTTCTTGAATCTTATCCAGTGTATCGACAGTGATACATTCCTCGTGATGGTGCTTCTTGTGGCGCAGAACCTCATGGCATGTTGAAGTGATTGCCTCTTTGACCCCCTTCCAGTTGCTCTCCATAGTAGTTCCTTCTCCATTGAGTAAATCGTGAAAGGTCTGGAACTTATTGCTGAGGACTATCTTGAATTTTTTGAGTTTGTCAGTATCCCGAAGAAAAACCGTATTGAACATTTGTGATATTGTCCGCCTCATTGTCCTGTGTTTCAATTTCACCTTGGCGACCAGCAAGTGATGATCTGATGCTATATCAGCTCCTCTCTTGGTTCTCACGTCTTCCATCGTCCTCCTGAACGTTCTGTTGATGCAGATATGATCGATTTGGTTTTGCGTAGAGTGATCCGGTGAAGTCCATGTGGTTTTGTGAATGTGCTTATGTGGGAATATGGTGCCGCCTATGACCAGTTTATTGAAGGCACATAGGTTTGCAAATCTCTCACCATTTTCGTTCCTTTCTCCCAGTCGGTGTCGTCCCATGATGTCTTCATATCCAGTGTTATCCGTTCCAACCTTGGCATTGAAATCTCCCATCAGAATGGTCAGGTCCTTTATTGGGCACTTTTCGATGATTGACTGCAGCCTATAGTAGAATTGATCTTTAGCGTCTTCATTGTAGTCGTTGGTAGGCGCATAGCATTGGATGATGTTCATTGAAATGCGCTCTTTCTTTGTTTTGAAAGAGGCTTTGATGATCCTTGGTCCATGAGATTCCCATCCTATAAGTGCATTTTGTGCCTGTTTGGACAGCATCAATGCGGCTCCTTGTGTATGTGGGCATTTTCTTCTTCATGGCCGGAGTATAACAGATGCTCTTCTGAAGCTAGTCGTTGCTGTACAACTTGCGTCCAATGTGTTTCACTGATCCCAAGCACTTCCAGGTTGCATCTCCTCATTTCTGCATCAATTTGGAAGGCTCTCTCGGTGTCCTACATTGTACAAACATTCCATGTACCTAAATAAATGGTCGCTCTGGTTGTCAGAAGGGGCATCGGTCTCGTGACTTCCGAAGGAACTCGGCTTTCATCATGAGGCGTCATAGTTCTTCTAAATGAAGACCTTCTGACTCCCAGGGCAGAGTTTAAAAGGTTTGAATAATTTTTTCTGGTTAGTGTTTTATTAGCGAGTTAGTTTTCTACAGGTTGGGGTCGCTAACCCCATGCCCAACCCTCCTCCTTTATCTGGGCTTGGGACTGGCAGTGGCCCCCGGAGGGACTCCAGGCGGAGTTGGTGGCCGGAGATAAATGCAGATATATGTCGTACGGCAAACAATTGTGGAAAATGTCATAAGTCGAAAAGTCAGCCTTCGAAGTGTACTCCATGTCCAATATTGTCTGAGGCCTGGCAGAGAATTCATGCAGACAATTGTGGCCCATTTCTTGGCAAATTCTATGCACTAGTAGTCATTGATACTTTTTCAAAGTGGCCTGAAGACTCCATCAAAGTTAATAAAAGGAAGAATTCTTTGTTCGAATATGAGATGTTTAGAGTCTGCAGAAGTTACATGTTATCGTGGAAATGATCTTCGACTAGCCACTGGAATCTTGGTGAACAGTGTTGTGAAATTTATGAGTCGAATTCTAGATATCAACGATTTAAGTATACACAAATGACATGTATATCGAAAACAATTCCAGGAACCAGGTGAGTCTATTCCAATTCGCGCTGTTAATTCTAATACTAATGAGCGCATTCTAGATCACAAAGAGTCTTTATCTAATACACAGTCTGACAGATATACGATGAACTTAAGGACAATGACAACCGATTATAGAAATTTAGATTCTTACCCATGCCACGGCGGACGTGGTATTTGTACGAACTAATGATTCCTTCATACTTGATCACGAACTACAAATATAATCCGTTCATTTGTACTCATATAGTTCTACCTGGTTTAAATTGTACTATTTTTGGAATTTCTAGTTCGTACATTAATTCGAATACTTCTAATTATCATAATCAGAGAATACGATTTACAGTATTTGGAAATGCTTGAAACTAATTAATTAATTATAAAAGTTGTACATGGTTGCATAGAAGCTGTAACCCATCGGCGCATACGGTCGAAATGATAACATGATACCTTTTCCTTTTGTGACTACTGAGTATCCTAATCTAACATTATGTATATGAACAGCACAGGGACAGATTTAGTGCAACGTTGACACTAGTGAGGTCATAGGTCAGTACAAAAGGTATCTCACGTAGGCCCAAAAATCTATTTCTAAACAGATACGTGAAAAATGTATTACCATTAGGTCATTGGGAATTTCAACATTTTTTATGTAACATAAGAATTTAATAGTGTTGTCCAGATCTATTTGTTGTTCGATCCGCACCGTGCTGTGAAATTTTAAGGAGAGAAGCTATAACTTCAGGTGCGCTTTTACAGTAGATCGACCAAGTTTTTATACTGGATGAAAGCTTTGACAAAACAACTATTTATTAAATCTAAACGATAAATATAATCGAAAACCTCTCAAAACTAACGACTTGGGAGAAAAATAAACACAGAATTCAATGTACGTTTTAAGTGAACACGGTGAGAGGAACAGATAAATGAATAATTCATTGAGTATTTAATGGAATTGGAAAATATTCAAAGAATTACGTGGATTCGTTTGAACTTCAACTTTTATGTGTCTGGGATCTGTTAAGAATGAGATGCTTCCTAAAAGTCATATCCGTGACAACCAATTATTTTTTAAATACACATGTAGATACACGTACAAACGTTTCACTGATGTGGAACAAAGAATAAACGGCATTTCCTAAACATTGAGAGATGTTTACATTTTATATCTTGAAGTCTGTGCTCAATTAGTAACAAACTGATTGGCGTGGTTGTTATTAGTTAGAAATGATGAACAGATATCTTAGTACAAACTAGAGTAAGTTATAAACCAAACAGAAAAAGTGTTTTATCAAAGTTAGTACACTCACGTCAAAGCTGAGGTTTCCAATATTCTTAGACATTCCAAACTTACGTACTTGCTTCATTGCTAATTTATTAGCTTCCTGAAGGTATTTTTGCGAAACTAAATATTAAATGAATAGAATATGAAAATGACATTTCATCGTACATAGAGATGTGAGGGAAATTTCGAAAACAAAATTAGGGTATGCAAACTAATAAGCATCCAAATTTACTAACCAACAGGTATGTGTGTGTACTTTGAACTATGGATGTTTTGTACTTGTAATTTTTTTCCTAAGTAGGTTAGAAACAGTACAGCCAGACTCAAAAACAGATAAATATCATTCCCCGGTACCAAGCAGTTTTTCTGTTGGTTATCTTTATTCATGAGGTATTTCATACATCCATCTTCCAAACAAATTGCGATAAAATGTGAATGATTGAATTCACTTGAAAAGAGATTTGTATGGTGACTATGTCATACGACCTTAATATCACACATTCATAGTTTCTGCTTTTCTTAAATATACCCCCGATTACTTATTGACAATTCATTAGAAGGTCAAAATATAGAATAAACTATTTTCCGACAGGCATAAGTAAGATACAACCTGGCACAAATATGTATTGGCTCCAGTTTCCGTACCATATCAGAACAGTGAGATGAAATTATCAGGACAAGTTCCAGAGTAGTGACAGTAGTAACAGTATGTATTAGTAGAAAAGACCAAGCATAGATTATATGAGTGAATTGATGGGACGGAAAAGTATAATATGATCTTGAAACTCTGAACCTAGCTAGATATAGAAAAAGAGTGAAACCACCTGTGACCGATTCTATGTCATGTCATTTAGCGTTTACAACTATTGATCATGATAATTTTGAGGACCCCGACTAGATAGTCTATACCTACTAACGCATATTAGTTCAACAGTCGACGAAACCAGCCGACATCGTCAGTCGGGATAGGAGGTGATTAAGTCTGCGCAATACACATCCCAACCACGTCAGTCGATGAAGATTCACATCATCAACAGATACGTCATTCTTGTCTAGTATCCGTCTGATCTCAACATTAGTCATCGAGTGGCTTCGACATATACGAGTGATGGTTTGAAGATACATAAAACGAAATACTAGTAAGCGGTGGACTTTCTATACTTTTAAATGCCACAATTAAGTACCATAAAATAAAACGGAAAACTATTGAGCAGTTTACTCGTTTCTTAGTTGTTAGATGGGTAATCTTGCCTACTCTGCAGATGATCTAAGTTTAAGGAACCTAAAAGAGCTTTCTTAATTTGTTCGTGCTTATATTTATAAAAATATGTCTGAATTATATCCTATTTCACACCCAGATTTTCGAATCCCAGTAAATGTGATGTGAAAACGTATCAACTCAGTCAAAATCACCAGAACATCTATAACATCGTTTGTGGTGGTTAAACAGAATGTAGATCAGTAACGTAGGTAGGTATTAAAGCAATCGACTTCCAACCATCAGGTTCAAAGTTCGTATCTCGCCCGACTTACATTAGACTTTGTAGTTGTACAGCATTACTAGCAATCACATAAAACTAATAGTTTAAATGTCAAGTGTATAAATTCGTGCTTGATAACTAAGTGATTTGATACGATGCCTAAAGACTAAGCCTAACAGTTACGTCTTAATTAATTGGAGAATGAGTGACCTACAAGTAAATTTCTAATTATTAATGACATCCTATCATGTTTACTTTGCGTCAGTATTTTGTATATAATCACGTTATTTTATTACTTTTAAGAAATGCATTTGTCTAGTGGTTCTCTCTTAGATTTCTAACCATTCACGGACTCAAATCACTTGGTCAAATCATATCATCCCGTTTATTTATCGATTAGCATTTTATTCATTGACTTTGACGATCAGAAATTTCAACTTAGCAATTACTGAACACCTACATAACAAGATCAAATAAAGTATTCTATTATTGGATTGTTAATTTCACAATAAACATTGTGATGTATGAATTTAACTAGTAATAGTACGTGCGTGATAAAGTTACACTGAAGCTTTAGCAAGATAAAAGCTAGTGTCTAATATTCAGACAATGAACAGATATACATTGAAAAAAATGTATCTTAACGGGAAACACACAAAATGAGCTAACCATCTGAAATTGCATTGTATACAACATGCTCAGCCGCTCTACCACCCAGTAATACAGACATACGATCAGCTAGATCATCAGTATTAAGTAAATATTTTTCTTCTGATATTAATTGAGTAAAACCCAGATCTCCAACAGTATCTGGACCAGAAACCGTACGCGGTATAATTGAGACTTTTATAGGTAGTACTCCACTATCTGAAAGAAGCCATGCTACAAGAGCCCTACCAGATTCATGGACAGCAGACATGTGGCGTTCAGCAACCGTAAGTGGATTTGAATGTTTTGCAGCACCTACACAATGAGAATAAAGTCATTAGTCATGAAAAAATTATTTTATACGTAATATTCTTTAGACTAAATAAACTTATTTCTATTAAAGATTGTTTTTATTAAAATCTGAAACAGTATAGTAATCTGTCGATGATAAGCACTAAAAGGTAAACTGATTACTCAAAAATGTAGAAACAAAACTAGCCAACTTATTAGCAAGAATTTAAACATTTTTCATACAAAGTATAAAAAAAGAAATCGTTAGGAAACCCGCGGAAAAAAAGTTTAAAACAGCTAACTATAATTAAATATCTACAGGCAAAAAAAACAACCTGCTACTATTCTTTCAAGTGCTGCTTCAAAATCAGCTTTAGTAACACCAACAACTTTATCATCTCTTCGAGCAGCAGACAAAGCAGCTTCATTGCATAGACGTGCAATATCGGCTCCAGACATTCCGGGACACCAGGCTGATAAACGTTCAACAAGTTCATTTTGTACAACATCAGGAGCAAGTTGATATTTAGCTGAAATTGAAGATAAAAAGATAGAATACGAATTAAATTATGGTTGAATAAAAATGTAGGAAAAAAAACATTCTAAAAGTCATTTGAATTATTACTCAACTATAAGTGATCAATTTGAAGGCAAAGAAAGATCAAGTTTAACTGTTTCACGGAGTGTTGATATATTTTATAGCATAGTTTTGTAGACAAAATGCTTTAGGTATATATGTAAAGTGTGAAAGCTATACAGTTCAAGTATAATACGATTAAATAAAATTTACTAAAACTATTTTAATTCTTTTTTTAATTCATAAAACAATGAATTTTTAGGCAAAGGTAAAACAGTATACTTAGCCTAAAGTGATCCAAGTTATTTATATTCTGATCTTATAAATGCTATATATATATATAAACTAAAAGATTTTACCAAGAATCTGGATTCTTTGTATTATTTTAACTTGAACCAGTTAAGCAGAAACTGATCATAAATAATGTCAAAATATGATTTTAATCTATTTATTTCTATTCTCTTTTTGAAACTATCCACTGAATGGACAGTAACTTTTTATTATTCAAGTTAACAGCTATGTCGTTCTTCATATAGTTATGTTACTTTCTGTTTTTAAAGCACTGATTAGAATGGAATTTTGTTGCCCAATAAGTCATATAAAATGTGGCAGCTGGTACAAATGTACATTAGTTAAAGTTCTTGTAATTCACATTAGTACAACGAGAAAATAACTTTACACCAACATCAATTGTCGTAGTGAACTAATAATCAAGAATATATCTAATAAGGAACAAATGAAACTGGATAGTAAAAATTATGAGCGGAAGATAAGAAATGAATGTAACAAAGTCACTGACACTGGTTTTGAGTTTTATCCTGAGGAAAAAACTGCATAAATCTTATTCAAAAACAGACACTAAGCGGTTTTCCCCTTAACTACACTTTCATTAACTTTATATTAATTTCAGTAATCTTATCCAACACGAAGAAAATTCGGCTGTTAATGTATAATTGATCATTCTCGTCAAAATATCTACAACTGTTGAGGATGTGGTATCTGTCTTACATACAACTTATAAGGAATAAAATCAATAATGAATTACGGTGAATTCGAAGTCAAACTTTCAATACATTTTTATTACATTACCCTATGGACCGACGATGCACTTTTTGCTGTGATTTGAGTTCAGTGAAAAGTACTCAGATAAAAAATTATGATAATTTAATTCATTAGAAGCAGAAATGGATGGTGACTAGCAATGGAATCCAGGACGCGTGTTTTGTCTTATCCGGGACTCGTAAGTTGGATGTGCCTGCATCTCAGAATCGGTATCTATTCCAGGACTCGAGCCCAGTACCGTTCGCTTCAAACGATATCTTGTTATCCACTTAGCTATTGAGTCCGGATATCCATTGGCTTATGAAATGGGGTAGATTTTTTGTAATCCAGTTGTGTTGGTTGTTTGACTCAGTAGCTAGGTGGATAACACGATGACGTGTGAAGCGAACGGTACTGGTTTTGAGTCCCGGACAAGAAAAAACATGCGTCCTGGATTCCACTGCTAGCCACCATCCATTTCTGCTAATAATACTTGTGGCTTAATGGCAATGTTGAAGCAATCTGCACAGAATGCAGATATCCCAAAAGCGACTGGCTAATTGAAGTATTAAATACCTAAAGGGAAGATTCAAACAACCAATAAACATGAGTCAAAAATCACTATAATCAACTTATAACTGACTAATGTAAGTGCGATTCCGCCTGTAGCTCCTCTAGGGTTACCAACGGTTTCAAGGCCGGGTAAAGGAGTAGGGTTGAGTATGGGGTCACCAACCCCATCCCACAGAAACAACATTGTTAAAAATACGTTAACCAGAGTAAACAGTTTAAACCATTTAAACTCCGTCCTGGGAGTTGAGATATCTTCATTCAAAAGAATTATAACGCCTCATGGTGAAAGGTGATATTCTTCGGAAGTCACGAAACTGATGCCCCTTCTAACATCTAGAGCAACAATTTTTATAAGTACATGGAGTGTTCTAACAATGTGCCAGGCCGAGAGAACCAGCAAAATAGCTCCGGAAATGAAATACAACTTGAGCACCCGGAATAAGTTAAACCCATCGGATACAAACTGGACAGAAAAGGATAGACATGGGTGGGATGTTGTCGTACTCTTGTCACAAAGAAGAAAATGCTCCACACACTCAGGTAGTTGTTCTGACGCTATCCAAAAAAGCACGGAATGCACTTGTAAAATGAGAATCTCATGGACACAGGATCATCAAACCATCCTTCGAAACAAAGGAGGAAATCACAACGAATGTTATCCAGTGTTATGCACCCACCAATGATTGCAACGACGATGGTAAAAATTACTTTTATGGGATGTGGCAGTCGATTATAGCGACGTGTTCATGAAAGGACCTGACCATACTGATGGGAGATCTAAACGCCAAAGTCGGAATGGGCAACACAGGATATAAGTATATCATGGGACGACATGGACTGACTGGGAGAAAGGAACGAGAACGATGAAAAATTAGAAAATTTAAGTGCATTCAACAAAATAGTTATAGATGACACGATATAACCCCATAAACGCACACACAAAGCTACATGGGTCTCATCGGATCACATTACAGAGAATCAGAAAGACCACATTTGTATCAATAAAGAATCCAGAAGGTAAATGTAGGACGTGAAAATCAGGAGAGGAGCTGACAAAACTTGTGAGCACAACCTGGTGGTTGGCGAGATGAAACAGCATCGAAAGAAGGAATGGACAACTGGAGAAACAGCAGTACAAAGGTTCAAAACAGCCTCCCTTCCAGATACTAACAAACTCAACGAATTCAAGATAACTCTCAACAACAGGTCCCAAGCCTTACAACATCTACTCAAGGAAGATAAAACTACAATGTAAAACAACTGGAAAAGGGTCAAAGAAGAAGTAACTTCGACATGCCAGGAGGTGCTGGGCCGCAAGAAGCATCATCATAAGGAATAACTCTATGTCAATACCATGGATAAGATTCAAGAAAGGAGAGCAGTTAATATAATCTGAACAAGAACAGAGAAAGTTAAGGAACAAGCTGAATACATAGAAGCAAACAAGCAAGTAAAGAAGTGCATTAGATCCGACAAGCAGAAATACGTGGGATGCCTAGCAACCAGAAAGGAAAAGGATGCAAAAGAACGAAATATGAGACAGCAATATGACACAATCAGGAAACTGAAATGGAAATATAGTGAAACAGAGACACCGGTCAAGGACAAAAAGGCAAGGTAATCATCGAGATTCAAGAACAGATGAGTAGAACAATTTGAGGAACTGTTGAATGGAACAGATCCATTCAATTCAACGCCCATTGAAGCAGCACACACAGACCATCCTATAGATGAAACTCCACCAACGATCGAAAGAATCTGGATGGTCAACGGACAGACACATTCCAAGTGAAGACCGCAGTCACACAAGGCTGCTTACTCCTGTCTTTTCTCGTTCTTCCAGTGTTCTCTCGAATTATAAAGCCCTCCACATATGAAGAGAAGCACGGAATAAAATGGACAGTACGGATGCGGCTAGACGATTTGGACTTCGCAGATAATTTAGCTCACTTACCCCATACACCAACGAATTCAGGTGAAGACAGTCAGTGTAGCAGCAATCTTGGCAGCAGTAGGCCTCAAAATAAACGAGGGAAAAAGAACGATCCTGAAATGCGACACAGAGTGCACCAAACCAATCACAATTGATGGAGAAACTCTGGAGTAGGTGGAAAGTCTCACGTATCTGGGCAACATCATCGATAAACAAGGATGATCTGACGCAGATATGAAGGTAAGGATTGGCAAAGCAAGGGCAGCATTCCTACAATTGGAAAATGTCAGAGACTCAAAACAACTTTTAACCAACATCAAAGCCAGAATCTCCAATGCGAACATCAAAACAGTTCTACTGTATACAGCTGAAACTTGGACAACTGCTACACCCATCATCAGAAAAGTACAAATATTTATAAACAATTATCTACGCAAGATACTCGATATCCGTTGGACGGATAGCATCATCAACAGCCGACTGTGGGAGAGAACAAACCGACTTTCAGCTGAAGAGGAAATTAGGAAAAGAGTCAGGAGATGGATAGGACATACATCAACGGAATCATCAGACTGCATAACGAACATCGTTGGATGGAGAATGCTGGTGGGCGGCCTATGCTCCTCCACGAGGAGTAACGGGCGTAAGTAAGTAACTTAATTGCAATTTTATTCTCCATTCATCTATGGCTTTCACCAAACACATTCTCAACAGAACTTCTCTCTCACCGACCGCCCAGGGGATTACTGTTGAAGTGTTGTATATTACTTCTCCGGTCTATCCAGTTAGCACAGATTTCATGCCATACTAAAACAATTTCCCGATCGTTTACATTTCCAACTCACAACAACAACACTGAACATTTTAGGGGCTAACAGAACCTAGTTCTCAGTTCAATTGACAGAATGAAATGTTTGACAATATATATTTCATGACTTTATGGTGATATTATAGGGGCTATCCGGGTGACTTTAAACTAATGTTAATAAGTTATTAATCCTCATACTAAAATTAACTACTATCAAGAAGAAACATTCAACAAAATAATGAATCCTTACCTGAATTTCAGTAACCAATACTAAAGAACATGTCCATGAGAAACACAGAAACATTTACAAGCTTTATAAAAAGAGGGACCGGCACATCACAATTACATGTAAAAGATATTACGACGAAACAACTTGATTATGTCTTCATAAAGAAGCGGATATAAATAAAGTCACAAAATGAATAAGTAGAACGTCCATGACCAAATATTTAACTACGATGACCATAAGAACAAAATACTTTTCATAAGAGTTCTTTATTTTTTTAAGTGTTGTATTTTTTATTTTTGCTAAGATGTTGGGACTATTTATAAAGAAAAATATTTACTCTTTTTATCCGAAGGCAATTTGATATAAGTATTATTCGTCACTATACAGTCTGCTACAGACTTCCTCTGAGAAAGCTAATAAGTGGATTTTTCTTAGTGCATGAACTGAATAATCACTCTATATAAATCTATGAAACAGTGCAGAATTTATTTCTATTTTCTAACTAATGAATAGTTGTGTGATTGCAGAAACGTGATTACTAACTAACCGAAATGCATAACCTAAAACATAAATAAAATCGTCTATTGAGACTCATTCACACACTTCAATATGGGAATTTATAAAGCACTTTTTGTACCACAAAATTACATATAGCTATTGATCTAAAAAAGAATAAAATGAAATTTAATAGACAAATCTCTTGCATACCAAGGTATACAGCAAATATTTCTTTACGTTCAGATAGATTTGGTAAATTAATAAAAATATGTCTGTCAAATCGTCCTGCACGTAACAGAGCTCTATCTAACAAGTCAGCTCGATTTGTCGCTCCAAATACAATAACACCTTCAGTTGTATCCATTCCATCCATTTCTACAAGTAGTTGATTCAGTGTCTGTTCCATCTCAGATACACCACCACCACCCTCTCTACAAGAAATAAAAACAAAGTTTATACATCACATGCAAGCGATGGGAAGAAATTTACTACAGTGAACTGGGTCTGCTACACTTGGACCAGCAGTATTAATACCATAACTAAAGGATTTGGTATCCAAACCCTAATTGGTTACGCAGATTCCCTCGTCTCCAAGACTTAATCGGAACGTGAGAGAGAATAAGAAAACCGAAATGATATTTGTACCTACAACACAAAAATTCACATGATCAAACTCATGAGCTATATGTTTATGATGCATCATAAATCAAAAATTAAAATCTGTTCTAAACTAGAGCATTTAGGATACAAAGTTGGAATAATGGGCTTATAATTAATTTACAGTGATCTTAGAACAGAGAAGGATACGAAAACAGTTAGTGAATCGAATAAAGGTTTGCAGTTTGAGGCATATAAAAGTCCCATGAACTAAGTGTTGGTCATCACATATTAAGAAATAAAAGTAATGAATCATTGGTAAGGATTGTATGAACAGAAAAGGTTTATTAACATAAACAATTAAGATATGAATAACAGAAGGAAAGTAAAGAACGATGAATAATATGTTCAGTATTATAAACAAAGCACGTGTCAAATAGATTTGTATCATACTCTCAATCGACATAAGTTGGGCAGATTAGATTCTTTTACTATTTGATTATATTATCTCAACACCCTTACATAAATAGTCTAAACCTAACTATATAACCCAAACCAAAGGATAGTAACTTCATGAATTGGCGGAAACAATGGTTTTCACTTTCCTTAAAGCCTTCACCGTGTTATCCTAGTTGTCATGAAAAATACCTCAAGATAATTTACTACCGTAAAAGTCATAGACTGAATTCATAATTCAACGACTTTATGATCTATTCAAAGTTTAGAGAGAAAGAGAGAACACCACTTCATTCACTGTTATACATGATTGTTTCTCACTATCACCTTATCGCTACATGGAGAAGTTCTAAATAATTTTCATCATGAAAGGGCAAAAAAGGTAAAAAATAAACTGCGCTGGACATGAGTTTATGTCTAGTTCACAACTTCCTTAAAGTATTCACAGACGACTTTCTTACCATTACCCTAAAGAGTTGAAAATCCCATTATGAACATATGTTGATATATAGAATAGATGAAATATAGCTGGTAGTGGAATCCGGGACGGGCATTTCGTTTTATTTGGGACTTGTAAGCTTGATGTACCTGCAAACTCAGACTATTTCAAATTGAATATCAAACTGGGTTACAACACATAAAAATGTCTATCAAATGTTTGTCCATGAAAAGTTTAAAAAGGTACTTAAAACTGGCAACACAATAGTTACCAGTATAGGGGGTTGTGGAGATTATTAAGTTTCCAGGTTTTCAAAGGTGGTCTAACATCAATCGGTTCATGATCTCAATCAAGAACTAAGTAATCTCCACAACCCCTATACTGGTAATTAACATGTGCTCACTAGTGACTAACTTCGTAAGGGAATTCTCGGAGTTCTGGTGAGAAGCCGTGATCAGTGGAGCTAATCCATGTCGGGTAGAGACAGGTATCTACCTCAGTACAATGGAAGATGGTCGCGCAGTTTCGTGGATTGGTTGATGTTAGACACTAACACCATTAGATGCCGACTCAGTGGTAGAGTAGGTTAAGCGTTCCCGTGAGCAGGATCATGGATGAGCACTGCTGAGGAGTCCCACAATAGGACAAGACGGCCACCCAGTGCTTCCAGGTTTCCAACAGTGGTCTAACATCAATCGATCCATGATCTCAATCAAGAACACGATAGTTATTTGTGTATTCAATATTATAGATATTCCAACAAGTGTCCCAGCAGTGAGCAAGTAAAATAAATTTATGGAAAAATTTTCTTACACATCATCGAGAAAACCAAATACGTACCCACACAACATAAAATTACTATTATTATTATCACAGATTACCTCTGATCACCAGAATCACGACGTCGACCAAGGGAATCGAGCTCATCTATGAATATTATAGCTGGTGAATGAGAACGAGCTACTTTGAAAAGCTGTCGTAATCGAAGAGCACCAAGTCCACCGACAACCTCTACAAATTGTGGTCCAGCCATTGAAAAGAAAGGTACTTCCGCTTCATTGGCCAATGCTTTAACCTAAATGGTAAAGTATTTCAGTTTATAGCTAATTATCATTAACAATAAAATTCATTTTTTATTTTTTCATAATATATTGCTAAGTCTTGGAATAAGATAATAATGCATCGGGTCAAAAAAAGATTGGTAGAAAATATCGATTGAATGAATTGGTCATATTTCCACTGGTAATTTACACCATACAACATTCACAGATAACAAGAAAGAGACATCCTTTAAATAATTACTAATTTAAGAGTAATCTGAAGATTATACCGCTGACAAAAACTGAAGTTTCCCATTGAAAATTTGTGAGCAGAAATACATAGAATGGAAGATATGTGTTAAATTTTTATTTTATGTTCTTTAATTCAAAAATGATGAATGCAATAAATCTTATAACATGGTTATGAAATCCTCAGAGATATTAAATTCACCATATAACAATATTACATTTATACACCTAATAAATAAATTTTTAAAAATCAAATTATTTCACATATATTTTAAACTTAGTTGAACTGAAGCATGTTGTAAGAACATTTTTATCAAATTTATTAAAACAAACAGAATATAACACATACAAGCAAAGTTTTTCCAGTTCCCGGTGGACCAAGTAGAAGTGCCCCCTTTGGTAACTTAGCACCTAACGCTTGATACTTTTGAGGATTTTTTAGATAAGAAACAAACTCCATAACTTCTTGTTTACATGCATGAAGACCAGCGACATCCTAAAATAGTTATGAAAAAAGTGAAAATAAATTCCAGGAACTACATATATGATTACGATAATAAAGCTGCAATATATATATATATATATATATATATATATATATATATATATATATATATATATATATATATATATATATATATATATATATTGAGAGAGACATGATAGAAAATTAATCAAACAGAAATTTTCCGCTATATTTGTTCTCCTTACTAAGTTTTGAAATGAGGGTTTTTCAATATACTGGAATACATAGCCATCACCAAGGCTACGGAGGACCACATAAAATTAGATCAACATTATGGTATTTAGATCATCTCGTGATTCTAAACTTCCAAATAATGACTTACCACTCTCAAATATAGTTTTTGACTAGTCGGCATGCTTTTGATGTTGCGCATTTTCTTAAGTCATGTCTGTTCATAAATCATCATCAAAGAAATATTTAAGCTAGATTTTATAGAGGCTATTAATGCCATTACCATAATACTCGTCAAACAAGTCAAAAAAGCAATGTTCTTGCAACAAAGCAAGTGTTTTATTTGAAATTTCGCAAATGTATCAACCGTCTTGCTACTCATCTGTATATAAACATTGTTGAGTATCGTTATTGTATCTATATACCTATGTATCGAATTCGGACAACAGATTCACATGACCTATCATGTAGTTGGAAGTGCATCTGTTGATTAAGTACAGTTCACTGGAAAATCTCACATGGTAACCTTGTTAACCCAAGAGCCAATTTTCCTAGAAAGGCTAGCACCCTTTGCCTCGTAATCAGAAATCGATACCATAATGAAACAAGTATAGCAACAATGTGTTTTCAAACTTTTATCTTACTTCATTTGAAATCACTTGTTGTCACTAAAATTTCCAACAGTATAACAATTCCCATCAGTTCTCACTCGTCTAACAGACCGTACTACAACTAAAAATGTAGCGTCTCACCTTACCTCACGGATTCCCGTCTCCGGCGGCAAGGCCCTTTGAAGAACGGAGCTAACACGTTAAAAACCTCCCACAAAAAAACCGTGCGTGACCGGCCTCAAGCAGTTGTCCCTTGAGCTCTGTGATCAACACCCTCAGGTCGTTACGACCAACATTAATCCGACTTTCTTTCCAGGTTCCTCAAGAAACACCCTTCTACGGTGTGAGCAGCCGGGAAGTGCTATCAGCCCTCATACCCGTAACGGCACACGAGACCAAATTGGTCACATTCAAATCCTTCCTACACCTCCTAATAACTCTTTCATCTCAACGACTAACCCCTCTCATGTCCTTTTATCACCTCGCACCGCTAGGGCAAACGATTCGAGTACGCGGAACAATATTCCTGGTCTCCTGAAACCACGCTCTAAACTACATGTAGGAGCTTTTAACGTTCGAACACCGTGCCAAATGGGACAACAGGCTTCCTTACCTAGGACTTTAAAATCTCAAGCCATCGATGTGTGCTGCGTCTCCGAAACGCGCATACAGGATCCGAGTAGCGTCATTCACTTAACCTCACCATGCCAAAATAAAGAACCAACTCGATTCACACTTCGTGTATCTGCAAGCCCTGATGCTGTTTCTCGTGGAGTCTCCGGCGTAGGTACAGCGTTGAGTCCTAGGGCAGGACTAGCTCTCTTAGACTGAATCCCAGTAGACAGTTGTTTGTGCGCTGTCCGACTAAACGGAACAGTAAGGACTCGGAAAGATAGGGACACTCGTCGGTGCCTCTTCGTCGTCTCTGCCTACTCTCCCACTGATTGCAGCTCAGATGATGTAAAAGATGAGTTTTATAGAAAGCTTTCCGACCTTCTCCAAAAAGCTAGGCGCTCTGATGTAGTAATAGTGGCTGATGACTTTAATGCTCAAGTAGGTAAACTAAGCGATAGTGAAAGACACCTGGGTGGATCTTATGTTGTCGTGGCTCAAAGAACAAATAATGGCGACTGTTCGTTGCAGCTATGCTCAGATAACCGCCTGTTTCTCGCGAATACTAACTTTAAGCATAAACAAAAACATCTTTTAACATGGCGACCCCCTAATTCGTCCCAACGTTGGGCCCAAATAGATCACATCGCTATCAGCCACCGATAGAGGGGCTCGATAGAAGACTATCGCTCGTTCTGGAGCACATGCTTAGATTCAGATCATGCTCTAGTAAGAGAGCGTATTTGTCTGCGCCTTACTGGATGTGGAAAAGACGCTGCAAGGAAACCCCTTAGGGTCCTACTTAATGATAGCCAAGCTAAGAATATATTTCAGGAACGATTAGAAAACGTTAGGCAGCCATGTAAGTGATGCCCACCCCAAGGGAGCGTGGAATGATATCCGAAAAGCTGTGGAAACATTAGTGATATCTGCTAGTACTGTAAACCACAAGGTTAGGGAGCAACACTGGATATCAGCAGCATCTACCGCACTGATAGATGCTCGGAAGCTCATTCTACCTGGCTCTGAACATAATGAAGAGCGGAGTCAGCTTAAGCGCAAGCTGACAAGAAGTCTACGCAATGATCGTGAACAGTGATGGGTAGCGAAAGCAAGAGAGATGGAAAAGGTAGCGGCGATAGGTAATAGCAGACAATTGTTCAGACTTGTTAAGGAAACCGGTATTAGGAACCCGACCGTTAGCGAAACAATCTCAGAGAAAGATGGACATATTATACATTCTCAATGCAGGAGATTGGATCGATGGGAAGAACACTTTAGGGATCAATCCAACTGGTCTTCAGCCACACTTCGGTTTCCCACGATCTCCAGCCAACCTGAATGGCAAGTTAATGTAGGTCCTCCGTCCCTTTATGAAGTTGAAAAAGCCATAGGAAATCTGAAACGAGGGAGAGCAGCAGGCCCTGACAGGATTACCCCTGAGATTTTTAAGGATGGTGGTTCAATATTAGCAGTGAGATTAACTGAGATCTTAGGTAGAATTTGGGAACTGGACGTAATCCCATCTGACTGGTCTCACTCACTGATTGTGCCAGTCTATAAGAAAGGACAAAAGACCTCTTGTGACAATCACACAGGAATCAGTTTGACATATATAGTGTCTAAAATATTAGCCTCAATAATACTTCGACGCCTAATCAAAGCTCGTGAAGAGCAGATTAGAGAAAACCAGGCCGGCTTTCGACCTGGACATGGTAATATAGATCAAATGTTCACACTACGTCAGGTTCTAGAACATAGACACACATTTAGACGCCCCACAATAGTAGTATTTCTCGACACTAAGGCGGCATTTGACTCTGTAGATCGTGAGGTTCTATGGCAGCGTTTATCACTGAAAGGAGTACCAAAGAAGTACATTAACCTTATAAAGGCTCTCTACTCGAACACAACTAAGAGTGAGAGCTTATGGCGAACTGTCATCAGAACTGATTACCTCAAGTGGTGTTCGTCAGGGCTGTCCATTCTCGTTTAACTTTGTCGGTGACGTGTTTTCAGAGATAACACTTTCCTCATCTGACTTTCCAGGGGTTGAACTTCTACCAGGAGATTCACTTGATGACTTAGAATATGCCGATGACATAGTTCTGTTTGGTGAAGACACTAACAAAATCCAGAGTCTTCTGACCAATCTGAGCAGCAATACAAGCATGTTCGGCATGCGATTCTCTCCCTCGAAATGCAAAATTTTGCTTCAGGATTGGGTTGCATCGACACCCGAACTAATGATAGGGAGTGAAGTAGTTGAGCGTGTCGACCGCTTCACTTATCTTGGAAGTCTCATCAGCCCTTGTGGTCTGGTGTGTGACGAAATCTCAGCACGGATACAAAAGGCTCGACTAGCTTTTACCAACTTGCGTCATTTATGGCGTAGGCGAGATATCCGTCTATCAACCAAAGGACGTGCTTACTGCGCAGCAGTTCGTTCCGTCCCACTTTATGGCAGTGAAACATGGCCGGTAAGAGTAGAGGATATTTGTAGGTTAATAGTATTTTATCATAGGTGCCTTCGAAATATTTCTCGTATATCCTGGGACCATCGAGTAAGTAATGCAGTTGTTAGGAAACGGGTAATAGGTAAGGATGGCAAATCAATTGATGACGTAGTGAAACTTCATCAGTTGAGATGACTGGGACACGTGTTACGTATGCCCAACCACCAACTGCCTTGATGTGCGATGTTTCATGGTGTAAGAGTAGGTTGGAAGAAAGCTAGGGGCGACCAGACCAAAACACGGCACAAGTCCATGAAGTCATTGACAAGTGGACTGAATCATGTTGGTAGGTGTAGACTACCTGGCTGGGATCCGCAAGATGATAGCAACCGATGGTTAGGGACTTTGAATGACATGGCTCAAAATCGTTTGCAATGGCGCAGGTGCATCCACTCTTTGTGTTCTCCCAAATTCTAATCTTCTGAATTCTTCATATCCCTTTCTTTTTTTATCTTTCCAAATTTATTTCACTGGATTAAACTCCTTGAATAACATCTTCAATCACTAGTTTTTCCGACTACTGCTTATACTCTTACTACCTCTAACACTACGGGATTTGAATCGACAACTGCATCTCTGTGCTAATATGGTATGGCAACTCGAACTGATGTACGTACGTACGAAGTTCTACGTTGTTTCTGACTGAATGACTAACTGATTACTACTCATCCCCAGTTCCTTACTAGCTTCTCGCCATTCACAGTGTTGAAAGTCACCTTTCAAAGGCCAATGTAGGTGTATATCTGCAAGTGGAACTTGACCATACTATTACGGGAAGGAAACGCAAACAGAAATGGATTACAAAAGACTAGGTATAAGAATTTACTTGATTCCCATATCCTGTAAACTGTTAAGCTATCTGTTTATTTTAAGTAAACACCATGTTGTAGCATCTACGAACAAGGTAAATTGAATACTCGATTCATACTTGTATAAAGAACCTAATACGTACGGAATCTGTTAAACCACTAGATCCCTCTAACTAAAAAATTGGAGTGAATAGGATTTAATTAGTCGACAAATGTTTATACAGTGAACTACTACAACACACACACACACATTGCCATACTTGACCTGAATAAGTGTGTTTAGCAAAACGTTCCACGTCAAGAAAATCAAAACACTAAACAGACGATGCTTAGCATTCAAATGAAAAACATTTACAGACATTAACTACACTACCTATCACCTAGTTTCGTATACTTAATGAAGGACAAGTGAAGCATTAAAATAAAATGTAAAACTGGGAAAATAAAGCTATCTGATTACAAATAACACAAGCAACTGAATTATTCAAGCTACATATGTCATGTGATGGCTGAAAAACAAGTGAAAACTTAGTTAAAATAAAGTATACCTTAAATTTTACGGTGGATGTTGTAGGTTTAATTGTATTGAAACCAGTAATAGGATCCCACTGGAAGGGTGGACGAAAAGAAAATCGGTCGTTTTCAGAATCAAAACTTGAACCCGATGTTTTCGGTGGCTTAGGGTCATCATGATACTTTGAGATATTTATAGACTTCCTCATAATACCGCTATTCGCTGCTTTTTCTAAGTTCTTTTTTTGAGACAACATTCTCCTCGTTGAAAATGTGAACAATCCACAAGATATAAATAGAAGACCAGTACACAATTTCGTATTCCATCTTTGCATGAACGTGTTCAAAGGTCTGAGAATAAGTTTAAAAACGCAGAAAAGGGTTTTGAAGAAGTTTGGTATTTATATGAAAGTGGTCCGTAAGTGTACAAGAAAAAAACCAACGACAGAACGAATACTTAGATTTTATTTAGATTATTTCAAGACCAATTGGTAGTTACAATTGGGCACTTGGTAATATGATTTCAATTTCGTGAAACAGTATTTTCAGTATATTCAGGATCGTGATGACACGAAAATATGACCTCGTCAAATTTTAGGAATGTCTTTAAACACTAGCTACTACGATTTTCTACAGTTACGTCATCATTTAAGGGTTATTGGTCAGTCATTGCATTTTAACTAGACACCACCAACTCAGTACTAATCAGCACCAATTTTAGGTATATTACATTCGAACAACAACCAGAACTAGTGCAAAAATAAAACAAGTGTCTATATAGGAATCGCGTAGGTAACTTTTAGCATACAAAGTTAACTGACGAAACAAACAACTACATGGACACGTTCACAAGCGTTGGTTGGATCTGTCAGATTACTGAGATCATTTTGTCTATGAAAGTATGAAACTTATTCGTTATGGGCATACCTTCCTATTATTTATTATTTATTTGAGCACATAAATATTAGTACAAGGGGGCACCAAATATATATGTGGCGCATACCTTTCTAACATTGGCCGTACCTGATAACATAATATAAAGTGTAAGACGCTATTCAAGGTCAGTGTGCGTCAACGGATACTTTCCTCTAAACAATCGTGAGTATCATAAATCTACAACTAACTCGCTCCTTTAGCTTAATATTTATATATTATTCTGAATATTTGGTTGAGTAGTTTCGTAATTCCTTAAACAACAAGCATAAATAAAGTAATATTTAAACATTCACTTGGTTGGTAAACCATATACTTTTAAAATCATAAATTTACTTACAAGTCGGACATCTGGACTGGGATACGGTCATGTTCTTCAATGCCCCACGCATCCTCTAGGGATCGTAATTTTTTTACAAATTCATTTACAGGTACTGAGTACTTCAAAATCAACTACAGAAAATTTTGGATGATAATTAACAAGTGAGAGTATAGTAAAGTAGGGAGGAAATATCTTAAAAACATATAGGAGTTTTTAAGTAACAAACATTTTTCCGACTCGTTAGCGTAGAAAACTTATAGTAAAAACTAAGACTATCTGGATAAGATCAACACAAATCAAGTTGAATATGTAGTAATTGTGCTCCAATTCTCTAACTCTCTTTAGATAGAAACTCATAATGAGAATCAATCAGTCAATCTCACTGATAACAGGAATCAAAAGCACAGATTCTGTCAATTCAGACTACTTGCGGTTTAGAATGAGACCTTGTATATAATTATAGAATAAAATGAAAGATAACCTACGAAAGCCGATAACCACAATATGTTTTCGAATGGGGAAAATTCTTAAGTCTACTGTCACCAAACATATGAATATAAAACACTTCAACCTAAAGCCCAGTATTGCTTACAGAAGACAACTACGACTTGTGACTGAAGTTACTCAGGTTTGACACGATCGGGGTACCTTGAATCAATTACTTTGTACGAAATTACTGTTGAACTTAAGTTTTATACTTGAACTAAAAAACGGCAAAAATAAACAAAAACCCTGTGACCTGTTAGGATTGGTTATTCCAAGCTTGGTACGAAAATTGGAGTAAATTTTCCTGACCCACCGAGATATTCGCTAATTAGGATCTTAAGCGTTGTAAAATACAAAATCCTTACCCCCTCTTGGTGCTTATAGCATGCATGTTAGATAAAATGTTAGCTTACAGGCAGTTGACCATGTTGATAAGTGAGAATGTACACATCACCGGAAGACGTTATTTGTATCCTTTGAACTTCACCTCTTTCCAACATGGATACAAGCATTCCGAAAGTTACTTGAGGTACATGGGGTACATTAGCCATTAACCACCACGCAATTAACAAGAGGGCAAATGAAGCACCACCCGCAGCTAATGCATAAATGTCCACATTGTATGGGTTATTTTGGGAAGGATCATCGCTCTGATGGTCACTGGAATAATCTGTCGATTCATATTATTGAACTGAGTGTTTTACTTACTAGCATTTGTAGATCCCCATTGCCACTTAGATCTTGATTTAAACTACATAATAAAAAATATGAGGATATATATACCAGACGTGCTGAATACTGCCCGACACGATTAATTAGCGGAAATGTAGAGTAACATATCCTAGGAGTGGATGCTCCAGTGAGGTGCCTCAGGCTGCCAAGACGAAGCAGCTGATTCATTGTGACCTTACATTCAAAAGTCCGCTGAATAAGGTAGTCCAAATGACCATGGTCCCATAGTGTGGATAGCAATCATACCCTTCACATCCAAAGTATTTACCTTTTATGAAAAAACAACCTTTTTAATGCTTCTGGACACCTGAAAGAGATCATCATTAATTAACTTCAAATATCTATTTCTGTGAATTTGTTCCAATGACACATACGCAATTAGACACCTCTTTTATACTTTCAGCAGCTTAGCATCCCATGAATGTCAAGACTGCCTAAATGGACGAAAATAGAGAGCAAGCAATCAACAAAGTGGAGTAAAGGATCAACAAGCCGAGAATGCTTATGTATAGTGAACCCAGAACATTCGAGATGCATAACAATTGTACTACAACTCGTAGCCCACTTCAGATATACAAATTGTTTTTGAGACAAAGTGATAAGTCTTGCAACCGAACTGCTAGATCGGTTTCTTAAGTTTTCCTGGTAACACCAGGCTAAGTGTGTGAGAACGTTTTTCTCCAAGGTTAGTTTACATACAGAAAGTCGAAAATATTTACGGTATGTCAAGTTGTCTCAGGCTTCTGAAAGTTCCTGAGGTATTTCTAAATATATTAGCAGGAACGTTAGCCATCCAGCCAGAAATGTGAATTCACTTTCTAGGTGTTTCTAAGAAACTTGTACTGATTTATAGTTCCTTTGTATTGTACTGTCCGCTGATTAAGAGTTGCAAATATAATACTTTCATTTAGTTCTGTTTGCCCTAAAATGCACTATTTCGGGAATTCTTAGTTATCACATTAATTCGAATTCTTCTATTATACATATATTTTAATCTACTTAGATAAAATGTTTCTCAAATTTTTCAGGTCCACTCTGTACTTTCATGAGGAATACCTTATATCTCCGCAACACGAAAAATGTAGTTTTATAAACCTTGCCCCGTGTAACTTCTTTTAACAGTTTTTCAAGGAACTGATCTTCCTAACCTCGCTCAAATTCAAAAAGAAGACACTGATCTTCAGAACGAGTTATCTTCAACAACGCTGAAACTGCAAATCAAACGTATTGAAACAGATTAGGAAACTACTATGTAACACATCTACAGATAGGGATGATCCTGTAGGGTCAGTGAAATGTCATTGTGTCATAGCCAATAGTCCGGCAATCGGGTCATTGAATGTTGAACAATTCACCGGTCCTTGTCAATTCGAAAGATAACCAATGCGCATCATTTAATCGCACACCGAGGACTAGTCCATATGGTGGTCATCTCAATCTCTTCATAGACTACTCTTACTAATGTATTTCTGTAATAACACCCTTTGTGTCATATGACGTTCAAAGTAACCATGGTACCATGATACGACGAAAGGATAATTCATGTTAGGTGCTGACCACAAGGTGTAACTTCGATGTTAACCGTTTCTTCACAGCATTCCCGTCTAACTCGAGTAGGCCTCCAATCATTCGACGCAAATTATCTACGTCGGTAATCCACAGCTCAATCGTACTGATACGTTGTCATCATAGTGCCCTTAATAAGTTGCACAAACTGTCACATCCAGGTGTTCGAGCAACCGTCAGGCCCAGAGCAGAACGATTTCGCAATCCTGGTATGAATAAAGACTTGAAGGAGTGGACATGCTCTCGTGTGAGCTTCAGATAATAAGGGGTAAATATACAATAAACTGTCCGTAGGCTGATTCTCAACTTCTGACGCTCGTTTCAAACATTTTCATCTTGATTTGGCAGGACCATTGACAGCATTTCGTTAGACAGCCCTGTCATTTAGTTGTTTCTTCTTTCTGCCGTGTACTTTAACCCTTATTCAGGTTTCTTTTAACCACGCTTTGTGTTTTATAGTCTTCATCGTCTGAGCTCTTATTATGCGACTTTGATCAAATACTTACCTTTGTCACCTAATTTTTCCGTTGCATGTTGCCAGACTATTGACAATAAGGTACTATTTGACTGGGCTCAAGGTCACGACGTGTTTCGATGTATGGTTACTAACCTTTGACTGTATGCCTGGAAAGATTGCCAAATTCCTTACAGATAGATATCTGATCCAATCTCGTTATGAATAGTGTTATGGATTCTCAGGCATCAAACCCCTTTTTATTAACTATTCCTTTTGTTGTTTCGCATGTTAGTTTGTGTTACAGTAACCCTTGACCTTATAGCATAGGCTGTACCGTTTGAGGAATTTCGTACTTTTGATATAATTTATTCTCTTACTCAAATTCGAACGACTTAGACTGAACACAGAATTCGTGTTTTGATATGATTCAATGCGAGTCACTCAAAATTGCTCTGTACGATACACAGAAGAACCTAGTCTTGCCTAATCGAATAAATTTCAGTTCGTTAGTTCTTCATTCAAACGAATATTGGCACTGTAGTCGTAATACCTTTGATTCGGACGATGAAAAATCAAACTAATCAGAAGTAGCCGAATAAAAAGGTTAATTGTTTGCCATCACAAATCACTTGAACATCAGGTCCATTTCATTAGCCGAGAAATCGATTTGTCTTCCGAGTGCTAGATTTATATATATATATATATATATATATATATATATATATATATATATATATATATTTCGTTCGGTAGCCGAATATACTTCCTCGTCCACTCTTGTATTCTTGCTCAAGTTGTCAGTTAGGTGTTTAGTACGCAGCACAAAATGTACTAATATCATATTTCAGTCACCATCTGCAATAACAAACGCAGCTGAGGGCAACATCGGAATCGACTATCTAAAATCAGATTACTTAGATTTTAATTTCTTTTACTGCGAACTTCCTATCGCACAATCGATCAGCACAGTTCACACAACCGAGATGCGATCCTCCATAAATAACAACCACTATGATACTTTGCTGATATTCGATGGCCAGCCCGAAACGACTCGCTCTGGAAGAAATTGGAAATTCCAAATACACTTGAAAATCTACATCACGTAATATCCATTAAAAGTAAAGCGAAGAAAGGCCGAACGTCAAATTCACAAGTCAAAAGTGTGAGCTTATAAAAAGGCACACTCCTACATGAGAGGAGAATAATAAGATCGACAAATAAAAGTGCGATCATGACGAAGGTCCACATTATCGAGAGCGACAATCATAAGATATCATATTAATGAAGATGATCAATGAAAAAGGAAATAATGATTTTAACTATGTGAAATATGTTCGCCTCACCATCTATTCTTTTGTCTTACGACCAACTAAAAAAGTATTTTCCTGAATGTATGAAGAGTCTATAAACACTAATACACGCTGTAAGTTCTTGAATTCGATAACGAATTGTAATTACCCCGGTTCAGTTATATCGTACGTCTATTCGAAACAGCTACGATATAATCTACTGAAAGGGATGTTTGCTTATTTTGGACCTCATATCCAATTGTATCATTATGAAATCAAGACAAGTATTTTATTCAAAATAAATAGACACAAAGTTACATTATATTTTGGTGCGCTTTCGCAGCAAATACCTGGTTGCAACCAAGTCTACGACCTATACATTTTCAATCACTCAAAGTTGTCTAATAAACTCTGGATTTATAAATAGTACAGTATTTTTGGTTGACGATCTTATTAATTCCCAACCTTCCGAGCGTGCGTCGTTTTTCACGTGCACTGTTGCTGGCTCATCTGCTGGTGTCATGCGCCGCACATAAGTTATTTTACAAGCCTCTCTATTGCGTTTCCAGTGTTCCACAGTCAACTGGTTGGTTTTCAACTTCTTACTGCGTTAAAATCAAAAGTGTGTTTATGTGTGCACCTTATTTAAAAATAAGTCAACTCATAAATATGCTTATACATGTGTAAATTTTCTTCATAAAAAAATTAAAGACAGACCATTTTCGTGTACCATTTCTTGCTGTCACCTGGTATATAAACGTGTAAATACCGGGTTTCTTACACACGTTTTGCTTGCTGAAGTAAGTGTGAGCGCATTTCGATATGAACTTATATTTTCATTCCCTAATTTCCTCAGTTTTGACGAAAAAACGAAAACAAATACGACGGGTGGAACTTTTCATCGTAGACTTTTTTCTGTTTCGTAATGTTCCGAGACATCACCAGTAAACTTAATAGGTCTGGCGTACCTGTTGAAATTGCGCGGTAGTGCCTTCACTACTGCGAGTAATTGTGCACGTGAATCGGTCACACAATGCTTGTGGAAGTAAGCTTCTGCGTAGCAGAAACAAGCTTCGATGTTGTCAGGCCAAAGTGGCATTAGCTGGAATGAGGGTTTTGATCTTAAAGAATCTAAGAGTTTGTTCGTTGATGATGAACACAAAGTATAGAAGTGAAAGAGAAAAATACGCCCTAAAAATGTGAAAAGATATCACAATATCTAAAAATTAAAGTAAAAATATGATCTATAAAGTTCCAAAAAGAAACAAATTCACAGTTTACGGACTATTGTACCAGATCACATCAAGCTTACCATCAAAGATGGTATAAGTATTCGGAGTTTGACAACATCTTAACCAGTCACACCTTCTATAAATGAAACGTGCCAACCTAGTGAAATTAGAACACAGAAACGAAGAGGATTGAAGATTTATTTGATAAAATATCGATTAATTAAGAAGTGACCAATGTAAACTGGCTAGCAGTTGTAGATATGAGGCATGGCGTGCTCACTCGTGGTCTGGTGCGGATGCATGACCAAGAATCTTCAGCTCGATGAGTCCATTTAAACCAGTACAGTCAGTATCATTTGTTGAAGACTTGCAAAGCTATTGATTTTAGGGATTTATTAACCCCCACATATTTAACTCTCCTTAACATATCGGCTGCCTTCCAAACATTTCTTCCAACTCATTAATTCCTGTTATCCATTTTGACTAGGTCCGGGATCCTCGATTACAAAGGCATTACAGATAACAGAGTTGTCAAGCATTCATTCTTGCCACACAACCTATATCCATTACAGTTGATATTTGAGCGTTCTGAAGTCAAATTTTATATAAATAGTAAAATATTTGCACAGTACGACTTAATCGACAAAAATGCTTCAT